GTTGTCTGGTCCAGACATGGATCAGCTGGTCAGGCTCGGGGACTTGGTTGATGCATGCCATCGTATGCTCTTGGTTGTCTGGTCCAGACATGGATCAGCTGGTCAGGCTCGGGGACTTGGTCAGTTGCACGTGATCGTAGTCCTATTGTGTGGATCAATGTTATTCATTGGATTATCTGGTCCAGACTCTATTGTTTTCAGAAGGTGAGAATATCACTCACACACACACTAAAATGCGGGTTAAAATTGGTCTTTAGCAGCCAGTGATCATGGTAACCAACGACGGATTAACGGTGCGGTGATGCCGTTACGATGTTGAATGTCCAAGGCTTGACCGATGTAGATACGGCTATGACATATAGCGCCGAGATGAGTAACTGAGTGACAGAACCCTTTCCTGTATCATATACCAGGAATAAAACCCGGTATTTTGGCGTGACAAGCCAATGTTTATCCACAAGGCTACACGAAAACCCTTGAATAAAATGAAGCAAATATCGTATAAGACAGGAAGCCGAAAACACATTGTTCAGTAATGAATGCATACGTAGATACCTGTGACGATCCGGGTTAGAATTGATCTTCAGTAACCCATGCTTGTCGTAAGAGGCGACTAACGGGACCGGGTGGTCAGACTCGCTGACTTGATGCATCTTGTATCCCGATCGCGTAAACCAGTACTCATAATGTCAATCACTAGATTACGTGGTCTAGTTTCGATTGTTTACAGACCGGCGTCACAGTTGGAATATCGCTATTCTAACCTCTGTCTAACCTCTCATCCACATTCAACGAAACCTCCTTAGTACGACCATCGATAATGCGGAAACACCGCAATCCAGGGTCTTACTCTCATGAACTCCCTACCCGTGAAGATCTGGGTTTGAATATTGATCTTCAGTAACCCATGTTCGTCGTAAGAGGCGACTAACGGGATCGGGTGGTCAGGCACGCTGGCTGGTCGACACATGTCATCGGTTCCAAATTGCGCAGATCGATGCTCATGTTGTTGATCACTGCATTGTCTGGTCCAGACTCGATTATTTACAGACCGCCGCCATATAGCTGGAATGTTGTGAGTGCAGCGTAATACTCACTCACTCACTCAGTCATGAAGTCCCATATACATACATGGTTAAGATAATCCGGACTTGTTAATGCGGACAATTGCACTAAAATGCCATCCGTATTAACGAGGTTTCATTGTAACCGATCTGTACATCGAGACTGAAATATTTCACTGACTTCAGCAGCCGCTGTAGCACAACTGGGAGGATGACATGTTCAGCTATTCATATAACTGTAAAAACTGTTCTGGTCAGCCAAAGAAAAAATGATCGGAGGTTATGATGATGATGATTGATTATTTACCTGTGTGAATAAAGCAGGACCCGGATAATGGACAGGTACCACATAACCGTACTGGCCTCTGCTGTACGGTAGCATCTTTCCGACCGACTACAAGGTCACGTGTTATTTGTCAACAGATCCCACCTGTTCGCAGGTGTCAGAGGTCACGGATCAGGCCACTTAAAGAAATCCTTGTTTTCCCCACGAAATTCTAAAAATAAAACTTTTGTTGCATGCTCATTTGTGTTCCGCTTCTTCTTATTTTTAAGTTATTTTGCTTTCCAAAATTGCGCGGAGTTATGATTGTTTCTCTCACTACAGACGGAACCCAGTTCCAGACATGGCCGCGGGCAGGGAACGAGTTGCTATTCGGGTTGTTTCGAAATAATAAGAGTTGGTCACGAACGGAACCAGGAACAAGACCATCGGTTTGTTACGGAATAACAAGACCGATCACAAATGATCGAGATCAACTTTTCATATTATATGACTGACAATGTTATCGATACAACATTGATGAAGTTAGTGCGACGATTCGATAAATATGCAAATGACGTCACATCAAAGGTACGTCTTTCACACCCCACACGTCAAGAAGGTTTCCAGTGGCATGTATCTACACCAGAGAAACTACAAGCGAAGTTTGTGGTCAAATACAACTGGCAGGCGGTGGGGGTAGCCTAGTGGTTAAGGCGTTCGCTCGTCATGCCGAGGACCCGGGTTCGATTCCCAACATGGGTACAATGTGTGAAGCCCATTTCAGGTGTCCCTAGGTACAATGTCTGAAGCCCATTTCTGGTGTCCCCAGCCGTGATATTACTGGAATATTGCTAAAAGAGGCGTAAAACTAAACTCACTCATTCACTGACTACTAAGTTCTTTCCTTACTTGTAAACAGCGGAATCTCTCAACTTGTTCGCAGTCCTCGTCATTCGAAAAGTGACAACTGGTTATTTGGTTCATTTGACTGTGTGGTCTGTTTACAAGTCGCCGTCGCAAGACAGGGGTAAGTGGCGGTTGCTACCGGTTGGTCGGACACCCTTGCCCTTTTCGCGAACACCTGGTGTCATCACTGATTTTCAGTCATTCAGCTATATGATTTTCACAGCTATTTCCTCTTCACTGCATTGACTAAATATAGCGTTATCAATTGGTTTGTTTTTTCTTGGTGTTGCAAATTGTGCACTTGAATCGAAAAAAGGTTCGCATATTACAACTTTAATGAATAATATGCAACATGCACGAGTTAGTGAGTGAGTATGGTTTTAAGCCACTTTAGTCAATATGTCTGCAATATCACGACGGGGATGGTAGTCATAGAAATAGGCTTCACACATCCATGCGGGAATCGAACCCTGGTCTTCGGCGTGACAAGCGAACGCTTTAACCTTTAGGCTACGCCACCGATCCTAGAAAGAACACAGGCATTCAGCTTCACCTCAGTTAACAATCCATTCTTGACAAAGTAATCTGATCTCGAAATCGAGACAAAGAGGGTCCGAGTCATAGGATCAGTTCGAGATATCAATAAATTCGAGATAAAGCTCTCATTGTTTTAATTTTGTGTAATTTTGAAAATAAAATTACAATTTCTCAACCTTATTTCTGAAAAGAAACCACAATGAGAACCAAGAATATTCTTTATATGGCCTAAGGGCGGATCATGCTCGAGGTGGTTTAATGGGATCTATATTCTTTTCGTCTCGAGTGTCACTTTTGATAAATCTCAACAGACGTTGCAAGATATAATATTCATACAGTATCGCCCCGGGCTGGAATTAACGGTACAGAGACAGAGCTCGTGAGATCGGGGCGCATTTGGGTCACGAAATATCGCCTCAGGTGTGAGATCAAAGAACAGGTATGTGTTTTCCTTGTCGAAACGAAAATAAAAATCACGATAAGGCAGGTAATAACATAGATACGTCATCCTTTATTGGTTGTGAAATGCCTGTGCATGTAATGATACCATTTCTCATTCGGGTCCGATTTGTGGTACCTCGAAACTTTTGTTGTTGTTGTTGTTTCTGTTGTTTGCTGTTTTTGTTTGTTGATGGTGGTGATTGTTGGTTGCTGTGGTTGTTGTTGTTGATGTTGTTTAGTCGAAAGATGGTTACATCGAAATACTGCCATTATCAGATATTCCATGTCGATTTGTTGTTGCTGGTGGTGGTTGTTTGTTCTTGTGGGTTGTTGTTGCTGGAGTTCTTTGTTGTTTGTTTGTTCTTGTTGGTTGTTGTTGCTGATGGTGGTGGTTGTTTGTGCTTGTTGGTTGTTGTTGTTGGTTGTTGTTGGTGGTTGTTGTTTGTGTTTGTTCTTGTTGCTTGTTGTTGGTGGTTGTTTCTGACTTGGTTGGTTGTTGTTTGATGGTGGTTGTTGTTTGTTCTTGTTGGTTGTTGTTGATGGTGGTTGTTGTTTGTTCTTGTGGGTTGTTTGTTTGTTCTTGTTGGTTTTGTTTGTTCTTATTGGTTTTGTTGCTTACTTACTATTAATTATTGTAAAGAGATTTACATTAAAATACTGTCATTATCACATATTCAATGTTAATTCCGAGACCTCCCTGTGAGTGAGTGGTTTAACCCCGCTTTGAGGCACATAGATTCCTCCCAATAATGACAGGCACTGAGATAGCCGAGTTGTTAAACCGGGTTCCGGGTTCGATTCTCGACATGGGTACAGTATGTGAAGCCCTTTTCATTGCTGGAATGAATCTACAAGCGGCATAAAACCACACTCACTCAGATTGTTGGTGCAGATGACATGTATCACTGATATGAATCGAGGTAGGTGTGTGTGTGTGTGTGTGTGAGAGAGAGAGAGAGAGAGAGAGAGAGAGAGAGAGAGAGTGTGTGTGTGTGTGTGTGTGTGTGTGTGTGGTATTTTTACCATATTGTATGTCATAGCTTTCTTTGCCGAATTGAAAATAAATAAATTTTATAATCAAAGATTCTATGTCGGTTTCTTATTTTTAACTTTTATTATTTAACTGTCGAAAAATGTCAACTGGCTTCGCCAACAAGATTGAGTCCAAAGTAGAGTTTGTTTTTCGGCTCACTCATGTTATAGAATTAAGAGATAAACACATCTACAGGTAACCTAGATCTGCACTGAAAACAACGCCTGGTTGTCCATTAAAAAATAAACATTCAAGACTGCCCTGGTTAAAATTATCCTTCAGCAACCCATGCTTGTCGTAAGAGGTGACTAACGGGATCGGGTGGTCGGGCTCGCTGACTTGGCTGGCACATGTCATCGTTTCCCAATTGCGCAGATCGATGTATATGATGTTGATCACTGGATTGTGTGGTCTAGACTCGATTATTTACAGACCGCCGCATATAGCTGGAATAGTGTTGAGTTAAACAAACAAACTTAATGATTACATTAATTACATAAGATAATGTAAAAGTTTGAACATTGTACTATCGTGTCTCGCCATTGTCTGAAAACAACTGGTTGATACCATGAACACCAATCAACGTCGATACTTAATCAAAAATATATTTAACACGAGTTATCTCCCTTTGTTCGCTCTTCGCAGCCAACACGTTCTGCTTGGGCAAAGAAACGTGTGAATATGTTTATCGCTCGCTTGTTTAGAGACTTTGACAGGAGTGAAATATATTTGTTCTTCCGTGTAGCATTAACTCACACAGAGCTACTCCAATCAGGACAAATGTTAAAGTAACGTAAGGTTTATGATATCTGTTATCACTAAAAGACAGGTGCTAGTCTCTCATTAGGGATTAGATTGCAAGCTGTGAAGAGTATGGATGTCCTGAAAACTGTCCTCGTGCTGGCAATTGTAAGTTGGAACATACTACACGGAGTCATCTACTACTACTCTCTCTCTCTTTCTCTCTCTCTCGCTCTCTCTCTCTCTCTCCCTCTCTCTCTCTCTCTCTGTCTCTCTCTCTTCTCTCTCTCTCTCTCTCTCTCTCTCTCTCTCTCTCTCTCTCTCTCTCTCTCTCTCTCTCTCTCTCTCTCTCTCTCTCTCTCTCTCTCTCACACTGGCGCTCTCTCTCTGTGTCTATCCATGTATATCCCGCTCTACCACCAATCGAGATCTACTATATTCTTAGTCATCTACTACTCTCAATGATTCTCTCTCTCTCTCCCTCTGACTCTGTCTCTCTCTCTTTCTCTCGCTCTTCCCCTAAACCAAGACCCCAACAGATCTGGACAACAGACCGGCACAGCCATATATTGTAAATAAGGAAAGTACACAAGAGGGCCACATCCGTCACAATGTGACACCCCCTGTCCCTGTTAAACTTGAAAACCCACACAGCACCACCTAACTATTCACACACACCACGTGTGACCGCCATACGTCATGTTTACATACTCAGGAATTGTTCTTTGGGGTCAACAACCTTTCAAACGACTAGCAGACACGGAAAAGGTTAACGAAAACTGAAAACACCATGTATTGTCGCTTACCTGACCGTCCATCCTCCATGAGCTGTTGGCATACAGGATCTACACATTCCCTGACTGACCCCAAGCATGAGCTGCATAGGAAACAATGTCTCGTCATCAGAAAGGCTTTCAAGGCTTGCCTTCAGCCCGCGTTGTGGCTCAAGGATAATTTTATATGTTTTTAATGGTGGCGAATATCTATCTTGTTAATAGAAGCGACAAAACCATTTCCATATCCATAAGAGGTGTCTGCAAAAACAGAGTCGATTGTACGACTGTGGCCATATCATGAGTAGGTGTTTGTTTGACAGCGTATTCAGTTCTGTTACAGCTGTATGAAGCGGTTAAATGGGAAATGTGTCAAGTTGCATCTTAAAGTTTATTTTTATACTCTTGTTAGTCCAAACATCTTTAGTTCACAATCTGGGAATCCATTAGTTTAGCAACTCAGTTAGGACACAGTTAGTCGGGAATCCATTAGTTTGAAACAGTAATGGAGGGGTGATGGGTAGCCCAGTAGTTAAAGTACATACTGCCTTGTCTCGCCATTGACCGGAAATGACGTCAGATGGAGCAGTCCTCCCTCACACAGGAAAGGGGGTGTTTTGACGTTCAAACTATCAAGTTCTGAAGAAGTTGTCCTATTTTATTGCAAATTTTGATGAAAACAGTTTCTTTGATTGGCAAAATACAACAACACTGACTGCAAGTATTGAAGTTATAAATATTGAAGTTCCCCTCAACAGGTTGTGCCGGCAATCTATGGTGCTGTCCTACAGCTGCCCAAGACCAGGTCCTGCATGACTGACGGGGAGTGTGGGACAGGAGAGTGCTGTGCCAAGCAGCTCGGACCCCTCATCGTCAGCAGGAAGAGGGATGTGTTCACTACCCCCGACCCTGCCACTGTACAAGGTGTGTGTGCATGTGTGCGTGTGTGTGCGTGCGTGTGCGCGTGCGTGCATGCGTGCGTGTGGTCTGTGCGTGTGGTTGTGATGCGCATGTGTGTCTGTGTTTTGGGGAGGGTGGGGACGTTGACTGCCGTTTACGCTTAACACAAAAAAAGACATAAATGGGGAGTGTACGTGTGCGTGTGGGCGCACGCGTGTGTACTCTGTATGTGTGTATGTGAGTTTTATGCGTGTGTACGTGGGGTGTGTGTTGTGTGATGTGTGTGCATGCGTTGTGATGTGCATGTGTGTCTGTGTGTTTTGGGTAGGGTGGGGGGCATTAGCAACCGTTTACGCTTAACACAAAACAGACTTAAGGGGGGAGTGTGTGTCTGTCTCTGTGTGTGTCTGCGTCTGTATCCGTGTGTTTGAGGGGGGGGCACATTTCCGCTCAGACACTTAGAACAGAAACCAGAAACTGTTACCCCAATTGCTCGAATCGCGCCATATCATCTGTTAGTGATATAACCCTAACATATATATTCCTCACATATATCAACTGAAATAAGACGACCAAGATATCTCAATAATATTCTTCAACTCACTCACTCACTCTTGCAGGGACCTGCAAGCCGTACCTGAAGCACGGAGAGTGGTGCGGTGGAGTCTGGAAGCAGAACGGCTTCTGTGGGTGTGCCCCCTCCCTCACCTGCCACCGTTACCCCCTCACGGGCATTGTCACTAGGGGGAAGAGGAAGATGTTGGCAGGCAACTATCTCTGCGAGCCAAAGGAAATGGGCCCCTAGATCGCGATGAAACATGTCCAATACGTCTACTTGAAATATATAAAATATGCAGGAGAACATTCGTGTTTTGTTCTTGTTTACCAGATTGATGTATTATGATCATACGTTTTTATAGGCGAGATATGGTCATCATTTTCAATGATACGCCCCAAAACGAAAATCAAGCTTTTAATGAAAATGAGAGTGAAGTCCAGCGATGGATCATAATCAGAGAGAATGAGGGATTCGAACCCGCGTTCTGACCAGGCTATGGGACGAAATGTGTTTTGCAACCTATGCTGTCGAACAAAGGAGAAACACTAAAGGTTTGTTAAGATTGTTTTGTTCATGCTGATCCTGTTATTGCTAATCCTGTGTATCCTGCGAGCATTAATCCGGTGTTAGATTCCTTTGTTATCATTGGGGCGGTGGGGTAGCCCAGTGGTTAAAGCGTTCGCTCGTCACGCCGAAGACCCGGGTTCGATTCCCCACATGGGTACAATATGTGAAGCCCATTCCTGGTGTTCCCCGACGTGATATTGCTGGAATATTGCTAAAAGCGGCGTAAAACCCAACTCACTCACTCATTCTTTGCTATTATTCTTTGCTATTATTACTCCTCTGTAAGTAATGCTCATGCTTGAGACTCCGTGACTTTCTGAGCGTGATCGGTTATTCTGGGAATGTTGATCGGTGTTCATGCTGTCCATCACTAGTCTGACTAACGTTCTGACAGACCTCTATTATTCTTCTGTAATAATGATGATTGTTGTATAAAACATCACCCGCGCTCTCGCATCCAACTAGTCTGTCTCACAGTCCCTGAACCACATTATTTCCCCTAATGCCTGGCCGTTCCTGCATTGCTAAAGCCCTAAATGAAGCAAGTCTAGATTTCCCAGATTACTGGACTCCTTTTCAATTTAAATGGGTTTATTTGTTACTATCCAAATAATATATATTCAGGGACTAAGCGTTAGTCTAGCATCCAACGAACTTTCGACGAATCAATGTAAAGAACTTTGTGGATCGGATGGTCAGGATCGGTGACTTTTGGATGTCATGGCAACCCGTCGACGTGGATTACTGGATTGTCTTAAAGCAAAAGCTTTGGGGACTGAAGCGGGTACATGCTGGCCAGTAGGGATGTTCCTACAAACTTGTTTGAAACTTAATTAATGCGTTGGTGCCTCGAAATCCAAAATGTGACGTCGCGTTGTCGCCCTGTTCATTAATGGTGTGCATGTATAGGAGGTGAATTAATCTACGCATGCGCAAAACTGGTATTACTTCTTTCCAAAATGTTAGTTTCTGTTAATTCCTGTGGTTCTAAGTCAAAGAGACTAATGGTAATATGGGTAGCGTTCCTGAAAATTTGACAAATCGACAAATTATTCAGGAGCCGTGAAGATCCGGTTCATAATGGATGTTCAGCAACCCATGCTTGTAATAAGAGGCGAGTTACGGTATCGGGTGGTCAGGTTCGCTGACTCTGTTAACGCGTGTCATCGTATCTCAGTTACGCAGATCGATGCTCACGACGTTGATCACTGGATTATCTGATCAACGCCATGATTATTTACAGTCCACCGTCATAAAGTTGGAAACATGCCGCTTGCGGCGGTAAACAAACAAACAGACAATTTAAACAAACAAATGATGTATGGTCGCGTAGCATTCCACCAGTTTTGATTCCAGGGTACCAATCTTTACTCGAAATTCCCACTGGGGGCGAGTAGCGTCGTTTTAACATCACAAGTCAGTTTTGACTATCCTCGTTTCGTTAAACCGGGCAAGTGTTAAACCTGACGATTTCCCTGAAAACGATATCGTCCGGCAGAACGAGGGTTTATTGAACAGGGGGCGAGCTGTCTAGGGCGCCAGACGAGTGATCCAGCGAGCTTGAGGTGCCGGGGTCTAGCCACCTGTAAAAACCTTCGAGTCAACTTTGTGTGCAGATTCCTTCAGTGTTGTCACAACCCCTAGTGTACAGTACACAACCCTGTGCACTTAAAAGAAACCACGAATCCTTTGGTATATGACCAGATGGTGGCCACAAGAATATGTGCAAACACCTAGTTGCGGGTACAGTAACGTGCAGTAAACTTGGACAAAGTACTGTGACTATGTGTCCCAGTCCACCCAGCTGTGAATGAGAACCTCGTAAGGATGGGAACGCCACATTAACTCGGTGCGCCTAGTGGCTGCAAGAGGTGTATGATCCCCAGGGCGTTGAGATTGTTAATATATAATGTGCCGTTTGAGATTGATCGAGGGAAAACAACTTATGAAGCGCCTTAGAGTGATCTAGAAGTAGTTCAAATAGGGCGCTATAGAAATGTGGCAAATAATAATAATAATAATACAGTACAACCAGAAATTATTGAGAATTTATTTTTTTTCACTCATTACTCGCGTATTAAATGTGAATATTAGCAGAACATAACTCCAGTTTCAAAGACAGGTGAACAGTTAGTATTTTGTCAAGTCACCATGGGCAGCAATGCAGGCTTCAATGTGGCGGGGCATACTACTGATCAAAGAAGTTAGAAAGTCGTGGTCCATGCTGTCCCAATATCGGACCACCTCTTCTTTCATTTCAGCAATATTTGTCAGATTTTTCTTATTGACACTTTCCTTCATAAGTCCCAAACATTTCCTATTGGATTTAGGGCAGGGCTATAGCTTGGCCAATCTAATAATGTCATATTTTGGATCCGAAACCAGGCCTGTGAATGCTTTGAACGATGTTTTGGGTCGTTGTCCTGCTGGAAAATCAAAACATTTCCATAGAACACGTGAGCAGATGGAAATAAATGTCCCTCGAGAATATCTGTGTACCGCTCACTGTTCATATACCCTTCAAATACACAGAGGGGCGTTGCCCCTTACACAAATATGCCACCCCACACGTTAAATTTCGGACTGTACTTTGGGGGCTGATACAAAGGTTTTTCAGTTTGTTTGGTCCAGAATTTCAGTGTATTAGGAAACAGCCACACAGAACTTTCATCTGAGAAAATCACATTGTCCCAGTTAAAATTTCTATGCTGTAAGCACCAGTTCAACCTTCGCTCCTTTTGTTCAGGTTTCATGATCGGTGATGGAATTCCTCGCCTTTTCTGCCAACCCATTGCATGCAGCTCAGTTCTAATTGTCTCCTTACAGACAGCCACAGTTCCTCTATCAATCATATCCAGCCTTAAGTTTCCTAAACTCCTTCGTTTGTTTTTAGAAACAAGAATACCAAGCCGCCTCCTGTCACCGACAGTCAATTTTCTTGGCCTACCTGCGCCTCCCTGGTGCTCAGTGCCATATCCATTTGCAATATTTTTCAAAACACGATAAACAGTGGACAAAGGGATGCCTGTTCTACTTGAAATCACTTTAGCTGATCTGATGTCCTATAATACTCTAAAATCAACTTCCTCTTCTCTAGGGGCGGTGGGGTAGCCCAGTGGTTAAAGCGTTGGCTCGTCACGCCGAAGACCCGGGTTCGATTCCCCACATGGGCACAATGTGTTAAGCCCATTTCTGGTGTCCCCCGCCGTGATATTGCTGGAATATTGCTAAAAGCGGCGTCAAACTAAACTCAGTCAGTCAGTCAGTCCTCTTCTCTAAATCATCCACACTGAGGATCACTGAAATGTCGTCTGCTAGCAAGTAAACAAAGGGGGATAACTCTTCACAAACTAATGAAAAAGGATAAACGGAGTTGTCTCTCTTGAATGACTCCAAGCACTTGATAGCTGGTCAAGGTTGTTTATATCAGAAATCCAATTAAACATATTCCTAAAATTCTCAATTATTTCTGATCATACTATAATTGTACATGAACACCTGTTACTGTCAGCGCGGCCTATTTACTCTCAAGACACGTATCTAATCTTCAGATAATTCATTATACTATCTTTGACCTGTAACCCAGATTTAAGTGATTTTTTCAACAGCTTTCGTCAAACATGGTTCCGACATTTGTATCTGGAATAGTGCTAATTCTACTGGTAAGTTTACCTTTTGATGTAAGATTAGTGCTAATTCTAAGGGTGAGTGTACTTTCTGATGTAAGATTAGTGCTATTTTACTGTACGTTTACTTTCTGATGTAAGATTAGTGCTAATTATACTGGTAAGCGTACTTTCTGATGTAAGATTAGTGCTAATTATACTGGTAAGCGTACTTTCTGATGTAAGATTAGTGCTAATTATACTGGTAAGCGTACTTTCTGATGTAAGATTAGTGCTAATTATACTGGTAAGCGCACTTTCTGATGTAAGATTAGTGCTAATTATATACTGGTAAGCGCTTAACTATTTTCTGATGTAGTGGTTTAGATTTAGTGCTAATTATACGAGTACTACATACAGTAAGCGTGGTGTTCTGATCCGCCCGGAGAGCGGAAGGTCGCGGGTTCGATCCCCGACCGCGTCATACCGAAAGACGTTAAAATATGGTACTTGTTGGTCCTGCCTGGCGCTGCTGGTACTGGCCCAGACTTAATTTGCTGGTTTTATAGTGCTCAGCCCACTGAGATACCAGCCGCAGTGAAGCATGAATATCCCAGCATGCACGTCGTCATATGAGCACATTATACTGACTCGACCCAATTTCGACCTCACCAGTCCTCATGTTGTACTCCATTAATACCGAGCGGGTCCAGGTATTAGGGACCAACAAGTACCATATTTTAACCAGAATCTTTTGGTATGACGCGGTCGGGGATCGAACCAGCGACCTTCCGCTCTCCGGGCGGACGCTCTAACCACTACACCACGGAGGCGGTATACGATGTTTATAAGATAGGAGACACGGTAAAAATATTATTTCTTTCTTTATCCTCTCTTCTACTATTGACGTTTTGGGGTTCATTGACCTTTATACTTTCATCGGCTACTATCGACACTTCAGGTGCCGATGGTGGCATGCAGTGCGTTGAGCCGTCTTCCAGTCCAACGTGTGTGTAGGTCTGATGGTGACTGTGCCCAGAACGAGTGTTGTGGGATACAGACTGGCCCTCTGATTGTCAGCAAACGTCAGCTCAGCTCCATGCAGGGTAAGTGAGTGAGTATGGTTTTACGCCGCCTTTAGCAATATTCCAGCAGGGCGGGGGGACACCAGAAATGGAATATTGCTGAGTGTGGCATTAAACCACACCCAAACCAACCAACCAACACCAGAATTGGGCATCACACATTGTACCCATGTGGGGAATAGAACCTCGGTCTTCTGTGTGACGCTTTAACCATTAGGTCAGACGAGAATCGAATCCACACTCTCCAAGTTGGGCACCTAATCGCCAGAGGTGGCTGAGTGGGTTAGATCATTGACTTTGTGATTAGGTGCCTGACTCTGAGAGTGTAGGTTCAATCACGGATGGAACTCTAATCACAAAATCGTTGTCTTACACAGGAACATGCAAGCCCTACTTAAACGAAAATGAATGGTGTTTCGGCCAGTGGAAACAAAATGGCGACTGCGGCTGCGCATCGTCTCTCATGTGCCAGTATTTCCCGCCATCCACAATAACTCCTATCCAAGCCATTGGGAAACGCAGACCAGCACCTGGGAAATACCTCTGTAAACAAAAGCAGTGAGACTCAAAGATGAAAATTATATGCTTTGGATGATCATAGCTAACGAAATAAGTTAGATCAATACACAATAAAGGCCCATGGACTGTGGTCCACTTTTTAAAGTCTCTGTTGCCTAACGCCTTGCGTCCGCATGGATACCAGGCAATACTCAGAAACGTAGAAAGGTGGTACTTGTTGTTGCCCTGCATGGCGCTCGGGATTAGTGAGTGAGTGAGTTTAGTTTTACGCCGCACTCAGCAATATTTCAGCTATATGACGGCAGTCTGTAAATAATAGTCTGGACCAGACAATCCAGTGATCAACAGCATGAGCATCGATCTGCGCAATTGGAAACCGATGACTGTGTCAACCAAGTCAGCGAGCCTGACCACCCGATATCGTTAGTCGCCTCTTACGACAATCATAGTTGCCTTTTGTGGCAAGCATGGGTTGCTGAAGACCTATTCTACCCCGGATCTTCAACGGGTCCGCTCGGGAATAAGAGTGACAGCAAGGTCAGACCAGACACACATACTAACGTTAGGGATACAGCAGCAAAGGTTCGAACTATGATAAGCACCATAGGCGGATCCAGAGGGGGGTTGCAGGGGTGCACACCCCTCCCCCTATTCTCCTGAAAGTCTATTAAATGCCCATTGAAACTCTTGTAAAATGAAGTGTGAGCCCCATCCCCCACCCCACCTTTCTCAAAGAGCTGTATCCACCCTGAGCACACAGGCATACAAACACACTCACCACACACATGCATGCACATGGCTAAACAAGTGCCATATTCTCAAAGGCAGCTTTTAACCTAATTCCACCTCACGTTTTTAAAAAGCTTGTATTGGCTAAGTTAGAAACGACCGTTATGATCAGCAACCTATGCTTGTCCAAACCAGGGATTGAATTGCATCAGAGTTAGGTTCCTGGCCCCGATTTCTCGAAACAAACTTAAGTTTGAGTTTGACTTAAGTTATAGATTTTACTCAAATTTGACAAAATGCATTTTCCAGAAAGAATTGAAATCTATATTAAACTCAAACATAGTAGACAATTTGAGTGTGGTGGATAGATTACTTAATTTGTTTGGGGTTTTTTATTTTAAAAATGCAGTTGAGTTACAAATTCAGCTGTTTCAAATTGTCAAACTCAGTTTGAAATTTGAGAAAAAACTTAAGTTTGTTTCGAGAAATCTGGTCCTGATTTGGCTCAACGCGAAACATCAAACCCTGACGACACGTGAGGGGCTCATTCTTTCACTCATTTGTTTGCCTGTCTCTTAAAGCCTTTTGGTGTGACTCTACCTGTGATCAACAACCTTGACCCTCATTGCATAGCTCTGTCCTCCATACCACAGAGGCAGCCCAAACAATAACATGTGACTGTTGCACAAGGATACAAAATGAGTGAGTGAGTGAGTTTAGTTTTGCGGCACTTTTAGCAATATTCCAGCATTATCACCAGAAATGGGCTAAACACATTGTACCCATGCGGGAAATCTAACTGGGTTTTCACTGTGAGGAGCGAACGCTTGACAACTACTATAACTCGTAACATGTAACATATGTTTTATTTGGGATTACACTTTCTTAGTAAAGTACGCTTTCTAGTATATATTTTTTTAGTTGAGCCCCATCGGGATTGAACTCGCGACACTCACCCTCAGAGTCAGCCAGCACACAAAGTCAGCCGCCTAACCCGCTCAAGCACCACGACTTCCACAAAAAATGGAAGTCAGACAACTGGTAGTCTAGACTGCGGACTTTGTGTACCCCTCTGATAAGTGTTAATTGGCACGGCTATCAGAGGGGTAGACAAAGGTTGCGAGTTCGAATCGCGGATGGGGCTCAACTCAAAAAAAAAAGTACTAGAATGCATACTTTACTAAGAAAGTGTAATCCCAAATATAACATATGTTACATTTGACCACTTTCTAAATGGCATTGGTAATCATACTATAACCTCAATACAAAAGGAAACCAACAGAATCCAAATATCTACTGAACCGATTCCACAAAACTGTTGTAGCTGTCTCAAGTCTATTGTCAATATGAGAGTTACAATCAGGGACCGATTCCACAAAGCTGTTGTAGCTGTCTCAAGTCTATTGTCAATATGAGAGTTACAATCAGGGACCGATTCCACAAAGCTGTTGTAGCTGTCTCAAGTCTATTGTCAATATGAGAGTTACAATCAGGGACCGATTCCACAAAGCTGTTGTAGCTGTCTCAAGTCTATTGTCAATATGAGAGTTACAATCAGGGACCGATTCCACAAAGCTGTTGTAGCTGTCTCAAGTCTATTGTCAATATGAGAGTTACAATCAGGGACCGATTCCACAAAGCTGTTGTAGCTGTCTCAAGTCTATTGTCAATATGAGAGTTACAATCAGGGACCGATTCCACAAAGCTGTTGTAGCTGTCTCAAGTCTATTGTCAATATGAGAGTTACAATCAGGGACTGATTCCACAAAACTGTTGTAGCTGTCTCAAGTCTATTGTCAATATGAGAGTTAGAATCAGGGACGGATTCCACAAAGCTGTTGTAGCTGTCTCAAGTCCATTGTCAATATGAGAGTTACGATCAGGGACTGATTCCACAAAGCTGTTGTAGCTGTCTCAAGTCTATTGTCAATATGAGAGTTACAACCAGGGACTGATTCCACAAAGGCATTAGCAGAGCTATGCCACTCTTGAATCTGTGTTAAAGTATGGGACTTACGCTCACCCTAGCTCTGTGGTTGACCGAGGTCAAGGATAAACATGCCAACTGACCTCTTTCCTTCATTAACAATCACCCTAAAGAAGGTATCATATTTATAAAAGTTTATTGATACGCTGTACAATACATGTAAAGACATCATGACGAGGGGACCTGGTCCGTTGGCTGAGGGTAATACCACAGACGGAGGCTGTAGTCGATGCTGCTGCTACTGGGTGCTGTCTCCGCATCTGAGTCGTCACTGTCCCCGAGGGCAGGGTAGTGTCTCTGTCCTGATGTGGTGCACATCAGAGGCATTGACCGGTGAACACTGAAACACAATGGAACACAATAGAACACAATGGAAAACTGAACACAACAGAACAATGGAACATAATGTTTGGTTGGTTGTTTAACGCTGCACTCAGCATTATTCCAGCTATATGACGGCAGTCTGTAAATAATGAGTCTGGACCAGACAATCCAGTGATTAACAGCATGAGTATCAATTTATGCAATTGGGATACTAGGACATATGTCAACCAAGTCAGTGAGCCTGACCACCTGATTCAAACACAATGGAAAACACATGAATACAAGTAAAGGCAAATCCTGTTAGTCGCCTTTTACGACAAGCATGGGTTACTGAAGATCAGATCTAACCTAGATCTTCACGGGTCAAATACATCAAAAGGCAAAGTAAAATTGTTCAACAAGCTCATACCGTAACACTAAGTAACAAAATGTAACCAGGCAATGGTGTGAAAATGCAAAACTGTAGCCATGGTAATATATAGTCAAACAAAGTAGCAATAACCTTTCTAAGTAAATACGGTAATATTGTTAGAATTTGACACTGATACCATGGTAATGCCCAAAAACAAGGCAGCACAGGTCATACTTTCACAGTGTAACATTGTAACCATGGTAACATGGTAAAACAAGGTAGCACAGGTGCTACTATCACAATGTGACACTTCACCATGGCAACAAAGTAACATAGGTAGCACAGGTACATTGTAATACTGTCATGCAACAGAGCACAAGAATATTGGTTACAGCACTGTAAACATGGTAACACAAGGTAACAAGACAGCACATGTAACACTGTCACACAATATAACACTGTAACCATAGTAACACAAGGCAGCGCAGGTAATAGTCACACAATATAACACTGTAACCATGGTAACAAGAGGTATAACAGGTAATACAGTCACACAATATAACACTGTAAACATGGTAACACAAGGCAGCACAGGTAGTACTGTCACACAATATAACACTGTAACCATGGTAACACAAGGTATAACAGGTAACACTGCCACACAATATAACACTGTAACCATGGTAACACAAGGCAGCACAGGTAATACTGTCACACAATATAACACTGTAACCATGGTAACACAAGGCAGCAAAGGTAACACTGCCACACAATATAACACTGTAACCATGGTAACACAAAGCAGCAAAGGTAATACTGTCACACAATATAACACTGTAACCATGGTAACAAAATGTACAACATAGCAACAAGGAAACAAAATACAACACTGAAACATATTAACACTGCAACAGTAATACTTAGACAATGTAACAAAACTCAACGGGTTGAGTGAGTGAGGCGCTGGTTAAGCGAGAGAGTGATTGAGTACCTGAGTCCATTGACCACGTCGGTATGTGCCTGGTAATTGAGCACTGGCTTGATGAGGGGCTCACTGTCTAGCATCCCAGCCTTAGGGGGCTGCAGGGTATCCCAGACACTTACAGTGCCGTTATGGTTACCAGATATCATGTATTTCCCAGTGCTGAAATAGACAAGAGTCCTCAGAAGATGACAAATCCCCCCGGCCGCCATAAATTTGAAAGAACAAATCAGCTGACAGTTACTTAAAGTCCAACTTGTTTTTGTAGGGACTAAGTCCAAATTGTTTCCAAGGAAATCATGAAAAATAAAAATGCCAAAATCTGCAAATAGCAAAAGGCAATACTTCAAGATCTGTTTGATATATCTGTCAAGTCTTGTAGAAAGATATTGAACGGTTTTCGAGTTGTGATCCGGAACGAAACCCACCCCTCCATTTTGAGACTAAGTCCGAATCATTTCCAAAGAAATCGAGAAAAATAAAAATGCCAAAAATCTGCAAATAGCAAAAGGCACCACTTTGGGATCTGCCTCACATATCTGCCAAGTTTTGCTGAAAGATATTAATAAGTTTTCGAGTTGTGCTCCGGAAACGAAGTCCACCCCTCCCTTTTGACACTAAGTCTGAACTGTTTCCATGGAAACCGAGAAAATAATAACTCATAAAAATCAGTAAATGGCAAAAGGCACCACTTTAGGTTCTGTATGATATATCTCCAAAGTTCTGTTGAAAGATATTCAATGGTTTTCGAGTTGTGCTCCAAAAACGAAGCCCACCTCTCCCTTTTGAGACTAAGTCCGAATTGTTTCCATGGAAACCAAGAAAACTAAAAATGCCAAAAATCTGTAAATAGCAAAAGCCACCACTTTAGATTATGTTTGATATATCTACCAAGTCTTGAAGAAAGATATTGAATGGTTTTCGAGTTGTACTCCAGAAAACCAAGGTCGCCCCTCCTTTTGAGACTAAGTTCAAATCGTTTCCATGGAAACCAAGAAAAATAAAAATGCCAAAAATCTATAAATAGCAAAAGGCACCACTTTAGGTTCTGTTTGATATATCTAACAAGTTTTGTTGAAAAATATTGAAGAGTTTTTAAGTTATGTTCCGGAAACAAAATGATTACGGAGGGACGGACGGATGGACGAGGCGTCGACTATATCCCCCTGCATTACATGCCGGGGCATAACAATGGTCAAAGTGACTTGAGTTTTTGACGGTTTGGTGTGGTATACATGTTCACAAATTAGTCAAGCACTATCATCAAAACACACATGTGTATAAAATACACAACAAAACATTTGTAGGGTTGGCATTGATGAATATGGAAAACAGAAATTTGTTGTTGTTTAATGTTGTGCTCATTATGACTCCTGTGTCCAAGTCAAAGAGTATTCCTGATTACATCAACTCACCTCTCTTAGTCAAAGGATATTCCTGATTTCATCAACTCACCTGTCCAAGTCAAAGAATATTCCTGATTTCATCAACTCACCTGTCCAACTCACCTGTCCAAGTCAAAGAATATTCCTGATTTCATCAACTCACCTGTCCAAGTCAAAGAATATTCCTGATTTCATCAACTCGCCTGTCCAAGTCAAAGAATATTCCTGATTTCATCAACTCACCTGTCTAAGTCAAAGAATATTCCTGATTTCATCAACTCACCTGTCCAAGTCAAAGAATATTCCTGATTTCATCAACTCACCTGTCCAAGTCAAAGAATATTCCTGATTTCATCAACTCACCTGTCCAAGTCAAAGAATATTCCTGATTTCATCAACTCACCTGTCTAAGTCGAAGAATATTCCTGATTTCATCAACTCACCTGTCCAAGTCAAAGAATATTCCTGATTTTATCAACTCACCTGTCTAAGTCAAAGTATATTCGCTGGTTGGTCTGTACTTGTCTCAGGGCAACAAACAAAATGGTTCCAGGCTTTCTCAAATCCCAGCAAACAATTTCGGGATCCTGCCAAAAAAAAGGCACAATCAATTTTTGTTGTTTTACACGGTAAGTGAAGATTTCTGACTAATCAAATCAATCAAACCAGTAATGAAATGATATGAGAAACTTTCAGTGTAGTGAAATATAATTGCTGGAGAAACCAATTTCTTTTTTTCGCTATGTCAAAACAGGAGAGTATTATCAAAATACAATTTAGTTAGTTTGTTTGTTGTGTAACACTGTACTCAGCAATATTCCAGCAATATGGCGGCAGTAAATAATCGAGTCTGGACCAGACATTCCAGTGATCTACAGCATGAGCATCGATCTGCGAAATTGGGACCCGATGACATGTGTCAATCAAGCCAGCGAGCCTGACGACCCGATCCAGTTCATCGCCTCTTACAACAAGCATGGGTTACTGAAGATCAATTCTAACCAGGATCTTCACAGGCGACATCATGGTATAGCTCTACACCATCAGTATCAGAGTTTACACACTTCACAAATCAGTTCACGTTAGGCAACATTGGACGCAGAGAGTCCTGGGTAGCGTGTTTGGTAGCTTGACTCCTGAAAGCTTCTGGGACTTCAGTCCTGCCCCACATGAAGCACAAGTGACACATGTGGTCTCACCTTAGGCAAGTGAGTTTGTTCAAGATTGCCTCTGTTCACCCAGCAGAAAATGGGTACCCAGTGGGATTTGTCATGACTATTAACCTTCTAGAGCCTAACAGGCAGCTTGGATTATCTGGAGTAAAATTGTCCATTACACGCTTAGAATAGGTGAGGTGAGGTTAAATTGGGTTTAACGTCGTGCTTGAGAATATTTCGCTCATTTGACGACGTGCATGCGTGTGTATGTGTGTGCGGCTGCTGGTACTAGCCCAGACTTAAGCTGGTTTTATAGTGCTAGCCCACTGAGATACCATGCCGCAGTGAAGCATGAATACCCCACTCAGACACAGTATACTGACTCCGAGCCGACCAGTCCTTGTTGTACCCATTAATGCCGAGCGCCAGGCAGGGACCAACAAGTACCATATTTTAACGTCTTTTGGTATGACGCAGTCGGGGATCGAACCTCGACCTTCCGCTCTCCGGGCGGACGCTCTAACCACTACAAAACGGAGGCGGTCCACACGCTTAGAATATGCCCAGGGAGTTCAGCCCCATGTAAGTATTATTGCACTCTAAGCCTGGCACGAGACAAACACAGAGCCATTAATTCTTAAACTTACCTTCCTTCCCCCAGCGTAAAGCTTAGTGCCATCAGGTGAAAACATAATGTGAGTTACTCCCCCTTGCTGACCTTGAAACATGCAGGCCATGTCACCTTTTGGTTCATGGTACAGTGCAACTGAAAAAGATTGTGTCGAACATTCACAAAACATGTATCCCTGTGTAGGTGTCAACAGGTACACATTTATTTTTTCAAAATGCCAGCTTGCGTAAACAATATGTGACATTTTAGGGCTGAATGTGTGGATAATACTAGCATTTTGCATGTCATAGAATATTTCACAAATGTGAAGTAGATTATTTTTATTACCAAGATTCATCATAGAAAATAACAAGAGTGCATAAGAACAAAGTGCACATACTACTACAAAACTTTATGAATAAATATTTTCTAAAGTATATTAATCAAACCATAGACTTACCCAAACTGCAGGTAATGGCAATCAGTGAGTGAGTGAGTGAGTGAGTGAGTGAGTGAGTGAGTGAGTGAGTGAGTGAGTGAGTGAGTGAGTGAGTGAGTGAGTGAGTGAGTGAGTGAGTGAGTGAGTGAGTGAGTGAGTGAGTGAGTGAGTGAGTGAGTGAGTGTGAGTGAGTGAGTGTGAGTGAGTGAGTGAGTGTGGTTCTATGCCTCTTTTAGCAATATTCCAGCAATATCACGGCGGGAGACACCAGAAATGGGCTTCACACATTGTACCCACGTAGGAAATCAAACCCAAGGCATCGGCGTGATGAGCGAACACTTTAACCACACGACTACCCTAACACCCCAACATCAAGAATAAAAAAAGAAGGTTTAAACTAAGTTATATTAGATCTACATTAAAGGCCATCTCAAAATATAGTGTTAAAATACCTCTGAATACAAATAAATATGAACTTTAAAAACATTCCCTTTGTGAACAAAATCATCTTTTTTTCCCAATTTGTCAGCCATGGCCCTTTGTTTAGAATTTTGGTTCAATCTATGCCAGATGACTAGATGGTAATACGCATGTACTCACTACTTCTGGAATACGAGCCTGCAGCATACAGGCCTTGCTCCGTGGGGCTCATGGCAATACAGGAGATAATCCCACACTGGCCTTGTTTGGCTGCAAGAAAGTAAACATCTTTAGGTTCACTTCTCAACAATACTGTACCTTGTACGTCTTAGGTGAGTGAGTGAGTTTCGTTTTACGCCTTTTTTAAGCAATCTTCCAGCAATATAATGGCGGGAGACACCAGAAATGGGCTTCACACATTGTAACCATGTGGGAATCAAACCTGGGTCTTCAGCAAGATGAGCGAACACCTCCACCACTAGGCTACCCGACTGCCCTGTATGTTTCAGGATCTATGTTGCAGTCAATAACTGTTTTCAAACACTTACCATATGTTGGTCTGCTGTGAAAGTCCCTTCCTGGCCGGGCTGTGTCGAACACTCGGATCATCTTGTTGAAGCCAGTGTACAGTTTGCTGCCATCAAGATTAAAGGCCAAACTGTGGGCTGCCGTCACCTCATCCGGGGGGTAGAAGGTCACAAAGGTGAAGGTCACACAGTAGAGGTCATATGGACAGAAGGTCACACAGAACATTAGGTCATATGGAGGTGAAGGTCACACAGAACATTAGGTCATATGGAGGTGAAGGTCACACAGAACATTAGGTCATATGGAGGTGAAGGTCACACAGAAAATAAGGTCACACAGAGATGAGATCAAACAGAACATATGGTCATATTGGGGTGAAGGTCACAGAGGGCATAAGTGGTAGGACAATACACTTTTGCATCAGTAGGTCATAAACTTAGTGTTTCCTTTAATAAAGAAACATAAATTAGAGGTGAAAACATAAATATTTTCATCCATAATGAACACTGGCATGCACTTGACGGTAGATCAAACATTATCAGAGCTGTTTGGTAGCATTCCCAGTCGAACAAGCCGAGCAATATGATTGGCTGAGTGGCTTCGCAGCATCCAATCGCGACAATGTTTAGTCAGCCAGCCTGCTGTATAAAGGACAATGTTCAAGCCCTTCCAACTGTTAATCAGCATTTGGCCATCCTGTCCATGAAAAATATGGCTAACCCACAAGGGACAAGAGTCCATGCAAGTATCGCAATATGTATCATATTGTGTGTGAGTGAGTTTAGTTTTACGCCGCACTCAGGAATATTCCAGCCATATGGCGGCAGTCTGTAAATAATTGAGTCTGGACCAGACAATCAAGAGACCAACAGCATGAGCATCGATCATATTGTGAGAAAGGTATCATCAAAAGTGATGAACTTAAGTTCAGAAACTGACAAATGTTGTTTAAAAATCAAATTGTAGAATCTCACCACTTGGTTGAATGCACGGTATGAGCACCTTAGTTCTCCTGTGAAGGCATCCCACATGTGGACAGGGGTCTCTCGACTTGTACTCACGAAGCTGAAAGTAGTCGGGGTATATGTCTAACAGGGTCTCCTGAAGGCTTCAAATCAGACAATACAACAGTTGAATACTGGCACTGATGCAAACGAAAGTGTGTGTATCTGTGATTGCTGTGTGTCCATGTATGGGACGTATTTCTTCACCTTTATTTCATGCGTGTGTAGTTGTGTAATGTAGATGAGGAACTGAATTCTTGTAACATACCAAGTATCTGTCATTGCTGTGTGATTGTCCATGTATGGGATGTATTTCTTCACCTTTATTTCATGCGTGTGTATTTGTGTAACGTAGATGAGGAACTGAATTCTTGTAACATACCAAGTATCTGTCATTGCTGTGTGATTGTCCATGTATGGGATGTATTTCTTCACCTTTATTTCATGCATGTGTATTTGTGTAATGTAGATGAGGAACTGAATTCTTGTAACATACCAACAGGACGTTGGGTCTGAGGAATGCATCATGGGATACCAGCAGAAGTCATAGATGAGTTCCGATTCTTTCATCTTCAGAGCAGGAATCTGGTTAGAAAGAATACCGTAAATTGTCTCAGTTCATTTGTCTGGACCAGACAATCCAATGATTGACGTTATGAGCATCAAGCTATGCAACTGGGATGTGATGACACGTTAACTAAATCAATGAGCATGCTTGCCAATCCAAATAGTCACGTCTTATCAATTTTAACCCAGATCTTCTCATGGTTTCGTCATAAAAGTCAACAATTTGAGCCTATGAAATTGGGATGTAGATCCCAACTGGTCATCGTAGTTATCAGTATTGTGAAGCATTCCCCACTGAGCAGTAATGTACAGTTTGTCAGCATTTTCAAGAATATGACAGTATTGGCTATCAGGGCTCGATTTAGTGCTTTGATACTTGCACTGGTGCAACCTAATATTACAAAGTGCAACCTTGTTATTAGTCTAACTTGCACCAGGTGCAAGTCAATTTCGAGTGGGTAAACCTCTGAATAAAACATCTAAATAATTCATAGCATATTTCTTTCATTACATATTCCAATAAAAGCAGTGCAACTGGAATGGGCTGGTGCAAGTAGGTTTTTATCTTAAGTTGCACCCAGTGCAAATAAGTTAACATCTCTTAAATCGAGCCCTGGCTATTCAGAATTATCTATCAGAAGTGTCCAGTCTTCATTCAGCATATACAAGTGGACATAAAGGACTCACCATGTCCTCTGGGATGTCCTGACCGTCAGTGTACACCCCCTCGGGGAGGTTGAAGAGGAGTAGGCAGTTGTCGTTGGAGTTGGTGAGGATGCAGGCGCCATCAGGGGACCTGGTCATGAGGTACAAAAGTGAATTTCTTAGTTTGGACAAGATATTGACTAGAGGCCAGTTGTTTGTTTGTTGTTGTTTGTTAGTCTGTGTTACACTACACTAAACAATATTCCAGCCATGTGGCTGCAGAGTAAATAATCAAGTACTGACCAGATAATGCAGTGATTGATCTAATGCCCTGCCCTCCCGCCCGCCCCAGCCCTGTGCCCGCCCCTATCCCAGCCCAGCACCCTGCCCACCCTGCCCTGCCCTGCCCTGCCCTGCCCTGCCCTGCCCTGCCCTGCCCTGCCTGCCCTGCCCTGCCCTGCCCTGCCCTGCCCTGCCCTGCCCTGCCCTGCCCTGCCCTGACCTGACCTGACCTGACCTGACCTGACAGCCATTGTTAAGTGGTTAAGGCAAACAGATTGAGGCTGAAGTGCAAGGACATAAACATTTAGTATGTCTATGTTCAGGGCTAAAGGGAGACTACTATGTAACTATAACTCTAATAAACAAAGTCACGAATGTCATTTCAAACAAAACTAATGTCCCTGAACATCAAATTGAACAATACAAAAGCACAAAACAGGGTTGAATGGCAAATGACTGCATCAGAATGTTATGAAATATGAAATATGTGAAGTCAGAGTCAGAAAATCCAAGATGGCTGTCACTGAAAGTCACAATCTTATATAAGGTCAGTACCAACAATCTTAAACACTGTGTGCGAAATACGCATTATGTCGGACAGCGCATGTTAAATCCCCAAATCATCATCATCCTCAATCTTAAACATCAAATGAAATAATATAAAAACACAAAACAGTAATGACAAACATATAACAGTCATGAAAATCCAAGATGGCAGCCACTGACAATGTACTGTCTCATGTTAGGTCAGTATCAACTATTTTTTATTCATACTATTCTGTTCTGTTCTTGGTCAATCTCACTTTGAGGCCAGTCTAAGTAAACTTAGGCTCAGTATTATTCGTTACACTGGTAGACTGAGTCTAACAAAACCTTGTAGAAGGTCGCGTCAGCTAACCTTTGAGCGACCTACGACCATCCAATCTAACACAAAACGGCAGAATGGATTTAACCAATCAGACAATGACTACTTGTTAGGGTTCGGCAGGACTTACACAGATTTTCAGCGACTGTTTACGCATAACGTGTATCACTCTTTTTGAGGTAAAGGTTCAAACGGTATGTGGGAATGCTAACTTTCGCGATTTGGTAAGCTGTGTTCTGATTGGTCAGTCCAAAAGGTTAGCTGATGCAACCTTCTACTAGGTTTTGTTAGACTCAGTATAGCAGTGTAACGAATAATACTGAGCCTAAGTTTACTTATACTGACTTTGAGGCACAATTAAAAGTATTATGTGGAGACCGGTACTTACCACTTGCATCCCCGGAGATAGTTCTCCTGCTGTTGGAACTCTGCCCAGCATCCAGATACCTGATACGGAGTCGAGTCAAACACCACGTCACCTTCAACACTGAAACACAAGCACATCACTTAGTCGACAGTCTTTACAGGCACAGACAAGACAGGGATCAGTTTGAGGAAGGTATATTCTCTTTTTGTTATCTTGTCCACAGGCGGATCCAGAGGGGGGCAGCAGTATGGTTTTACGCTGTTTTTAGAAGTATTCCAGCAATATCATGGTGGGGAACACCAGAATGGGCTTCATACAATATACATATGCAGTGAATCGAACCAAGTCTTCAGCTGGATGAGTTAACATTTTAACCACTAGGCTACTCGAATATCCTCCATGCATTTTGAAAGAGAAGATATGCAGAGAGACATTCCATTTATTCATGACCTCAATGCAAACCACTACATATTAAATGACCTGTCCCTAAATAATATAAAAATTTATAATTTCTCATTTGAAACAACAAAACCAACCACCACCCCACCACCACCCACAGCATCCTTCTCCACTTGTGTAATGCCTCACTCAGCAACATTCCAACTATATGACATCAGTCTGTACATAAGTGAGTCAACCCAGACAATCCAGTGATCATCATGAACATCAATCTAAGCAACTGGGACATGAAAACATGTGTCAACAAAGTCAGTGAGCCTGACAGCCTGTTCCTGTTAGTCGCCTCTTACGACAAGGGTTGTCATGTACCCGATATATATATATTAGTAACAGTATATATATCCTGCTGTACTCATTCCCCGTCTCAGGACCGCTACTACTACTACTGCTACTGCTACTGCTACTTCTACTTCTACTTCTACTACTGGACCGCCTCCGTGGTATAGTGGTTAGAGCGGAAGGTCGCGGGTTTCATCCCCGGCCGCGTCATACCAACACTTTAAAATATGGTACTTGTTGGTCCCTGCCTGGCGCTCGGCATTAATGGGTACAAGGACTGGTCGGCTCGGAGTCAGTATAATGTGTCTGATTGGGTATTCATTCTTAACTGTGGTATGGTATCTCTGTGGGCTGGCACTATAAAACCATCTTAAGTCTGGGCTAGTACAAGCAGCTGCACATACACATACACACGCATGCACGTCGTCATATGAGCGAAATATTCTTAAGTGCGACCACCTCACCATTCCCCATCTCATGCTTGAAAACGGTATAGTATAAGCATCTTTTCCGAAACACTGCATTTGTACAATAAAGAAGTTGATCATCCATAAACACTTGTCATTCCTATTGCTTACAACGTCTAGAATGCCTCTCAAAAAGCTCATCCATAAACACTTGTCACTCCTATGGGCTGCTGAAGACCAATTCATGGGTACCCTCTTGAACTAACCAGCCCATCCACCACAATAAGAAATGACAAACAATTCCAACAGACCAAGCCTACAAACCTTCATTATGCAAAGTTAAAGAAATTATCTTATCACTGTACCTTTCAGTCTGAATTTTTGTAGCTTCATCCGCAGCAGGGGGGATAACTCTGACATCCTCAGGTTTATCCTCTTCCACATTAGGTTCTACCGACTGCAGCCTTGGTCTCTTTGCCGATGGCACATCCTCTTGATCCAGAGTGTCTGGTTTTTCTTGAAGGTCATCACTGACTGTCTTTTCAACCGGTTTCAAAGTTTCATTTCCGGATTGTTTACTGTTTCTCACAACTCTTGGCAAAAACATACTTGATCCAAAACCTTGAGATGATGGAATAACGCTAGGAGAATCTGATTTATCCAATGAGCTGTGTTCTGATGGAGACTCCTGTTCCATGACCGATGGAGACTCTGTGATGGATGGAGGCTCATGTGAACATCCTGCAACAAAGGGCTGGGTTCCGGGTGGGAGAGAGAAGGTCTCGACTTCCTTAGAAGGGAATGACCCTCCGATTGCAAGCAAATCTTCTTCAGATGTGTTGACTACCTTGGAAGGGTCCACTTTACCAGACAGGGTTATATACGATGATGTCTGGGATTCACATCTGGAAGAGTCTATTTCTTGTGAGGGGGAGACAGGTTGTTCCTCCATCTTGTCTTCTTTGCTGACCTCTTCAGGTACTGCAGGTTGATCCACCTTGTCCTCACTCGCTGGAACAAACAAATTGAAACAATCCATTCTCTTTTGACATCCTCCTCCTCCTGCAGACAAGCCAGGCATTTTGATAAAGATATAGGAGTAAAATAACAAACACAAACAATACATAACTGGATTTTAGTAAAGGTGCATGTTATTTCTTGGAGTTATAATATGTATATGTACAGTCAGACCTCGTTAATACGAACACTTTGGTTTTTTAAAAAAAACGTTCGGATAGTGAAACGTTCGTACTGCTGAAACCACAGTATATGCACCGAGTTACTTCCCCTTGATACAACTACAACTTAAATAAAATTATTTTTGAATGAAAATGCAAGCTTACATTTATAACGTCCAGATAAACCACGAAAGAAGCAAAAACTATGGTGATTTTTTTTCCATTTGTGACATGTCATAACATGCCCGTGCCTTTTTCCTTTATATTTTCATTTTTACGTCATCAGAAAATTATTATAAAAAGATTTCTGGTCGCCTATTTCCCGATATCTGTGGCTTTCCGCTCAGTAACATGACATAACAACCGAAAATACCTGCGTTTTCGAAGCATCGTATGAATAACATGGGAGGCTTAATCGTTTGATGTCGGGTATCGCTCAAAGCTCTGAACATCAACAACATCACTGAACCCTTGCCGAGAGTATTTTCACAGTTGTAAGAGCTTTATTTTATTGGATACAAATTGGTTTCTAATGACGCTTTTCACTACAGTCTGCTATAAGGGTCGTGATTGGTCAAAATCAGACACGCGTGACCTAAGGCAGCCAATCATATTACGGCAATGGCTACCGTCTCGTGAACGCGAAAACTTTTAGATTTAGACAAAAGTTTTGGGTAAAATAATGCTATTTTGAACATATTAAGCAAGAAATCGCTACCTATACGTAAATTATGGAACTTATTGGACGTATCGTCCTAGGTTATGACCTGTGACAAAAATGCTTCATGTATATATTTTGTTGATTTTATTCATTAGTTTATTCAATTTATTTAATGAATTCGTCGAAACAATCGTTACTTTGCTCTTTGACAATGTTATTGTGGACCCGCTGCCGAAGCATGTGTCCGGTCGCTAAGTCGCTAAACAAACAACGTGTCACTTTGGGTGGACCAGTCAGCAGCGCGGTCAACTTCAATCGTTCGGATTAACGCAGCTGTTTACAACGTAATTAGTCCAATCCGTTCCGACTGACCAGCGTTTGGAGGTGGAAACTGAATCATCGGATTAACGAGGTGTCAATTATATACAATATATAGGGAGATGATTTGGTGCCCAGTGAGTAGCGTTCGGAAGTCGGTGGATTCGGATTAACGAGGACCGGATTACCGCGGCCTGACTGTATTTTGAACATTACTTTACATTGAACCATTTGTCTTTCGGTAAGAGTTTCGCCCGTAAACCCCGCTTGAAATGTGTTCTATTTAGTATGGTTATTTCTGGGGGTTAGTGTTTAGGTTTATGGTTAGATTTAGGGTTAGGGTTAGGGTAGGCTTTCTGTAAATAACACCATCTATTCTTAGGCATAGAATGATACAACAAAAAAAATACGGGGGTTACTGGCGGAAATCTTTCCTGTCTTTATATGTAATAACATCTCACTTGAGGCAGTAGAGGATTAACACTGATTCTGTTTGTGGATTCGAACCACTGATCATGACATTCTGTTGAGAAGTCAAACGCCTTGTCCACATGACCAAAGAGGTTAACCCTGTCAGCAAACTGACAAGGTAAGGATGTCATCTGTGGGATGTCTCCACGCCCTGCTACAACTATAACTTGAACCATTTGTCTTTCTATGTAATAACATCTCACTTGAGGTGAGGTGAGGTGATATTGGGTTTAACGTCGTGCTTGAGAATATTTCGCTCATATGACGACGTGCATGTGTGTGTATGTGTAAGTGCGGCTGCTTGTACTAGCCCAGACTGAAGCTGGTTTTATAGTGCTAGCTCACTGAGATACCATACCACAGTGAAGCATGAATACCCCACTCAGACACATTATACTGACTCCGAGCCGACCAGTCGTTGTTGTACCCATTAATGCCGAGCGCCAGGCAGGGACCAACAAATACCATATTTTAACGTCTTTTGGTATGACGCGGTCGGGGATCGAACCCGCGACCTTCCTCTCTCCGGGCGGACGCTCTAACCACTACACCACGGAGGCAGTCTCACATCTCACTTGAGGCAGTAAAGGTTTAACACTGATTCTATTTGTTGTTTGTGTCACAACTTTTTAATTTGAGTATATGAAACACTGGACCAACCTGGTGGAGCGTTCTGCACATTTGGGGACTTCAACTCAAGGACATCTCCAGACCTTGTCCCGCTGCCCTCAGCAAGTGCTTGGTCAATGTCCTCCATCAGTTGCTGTGAGCTGACCTCTGTTTGTGACCGTCCAGGACTTGATTCCACAATGTTGTCGATGTCATGTATCAGGGCTTGTGTGTTGGCCTGGAAACTTTCTTCAGACATGACACTGATATAACTACCAGTACCAGGTCTCCATGCTGTCTTCAGACATGATTACCGGATCCGGTTGTGTCTTCTTGTGGTTAAATTCCTTGAAACAGAGTAAATATCCATCATCAAGTCCAGTGCACTCACCAATATTTTACAGCATTAGGATAAAAAAAATATTCAACATATATTATCACAGAATATAAATAATATAGATATATATATATGATCAGGTCGGATAAATCCAATACAAACTAGTGTTTTTACGATTAATTGAAATAATTGAACTTGAAGCAATTGGTCACATTTTCTCATAATCGAACACAAATGATTTCGGAACTACTGTTCAAGTGTTTGAAACACTTGACAATGGAACATATCGAAGAAGTTGTCAGGGCCTGAAAACATGTTTAATTCTTAGAAAACTCACTTCACTTGCTGAAAAGTCATGACTGCATATTTTGTGAAGACTCTGGGAAGTTTTTCTGAATGATAAATTAGTCATCACTTTGAAAGAGCAAGTTGCATCATGTTATACTTATCTGCATTAACAACTTGAACAGAAAAATCTGAAAAATTATGCTAACCAGTATTTTTTCGATGATTGCTTGTTGGTAATAAACCAATCATCAATTGTGGGATTTCAACCAATTCCCAACACTAATTAATACAAACAGATGGTTGATATCACGAGCAATGTCCCATGTCTCTATGGAGATCAACAAGTACAGCTGAAGGTGTTGTTGGCTTGGGTACTACATAATACCCTAGGTATGTTTCTGTAAATTTATCCTGTATTTTGACTCTGAAGTTTCAGTTCACCTGATTACAAGTGATACAGTGCATACTGTGTAAGTTCGTTTCTTACATAACAATCACATGCATCTCCTGCAACAGCATGACAGTCCCACTCTACAAAACAGTGCATTATGGTATAGTACCAATCTACAAAACAGTGCATTGCGATGCATTCGCGGTAGGGTACGCTTTAGGATGAAAACGGTATGCGCTTACCACAATACGGTACCTATTGCAGTACAAGGCCTTAGTTTCGGTCTGTTTCGGTTTCGTACATGAGATTTTATTATAATGCAGAAAATTGACAACAAGAGCTAAACCTTACATTGTTTGACAACATGGGAAAAAATGACCATAATCTTTGTTATTTTCATTAAAGAAAACTCATTTTATTATTAAACAGAAATGAAAACCGAAAATACAGAATGTTTGGATTACATTACGGTTTGCCGAACCGAAGGCATAATGCCGCGGTACACCGTTTCACCCATAGTAAGTTTCTGGATACATATGTGTAGTGCCCCTTCCAACAACGAGACCCGTGAAGATCCAGGGTAGAATAGGTCTTCAGCAACCCATGCTTGCCACAATAGTTGACTATGCTTGTTGTATAAGATGACTAACGGGATCAGGTGGTCAGGCTCGCTGACTTGGTTGACACATGTCATCGGTTCCCAATTGTGCAGATCAATGCTTATGCTGTTGATCACTGGATTGTCTGCACCACACTCGATTATTTACAGACCGCCGCCATATAGCTGGAATATTGCTGAGTGCGGTCTAAAACTAAACTCACACTCACTCACTCACTCACTCACCTTCCAACAACGTCCCTTTCACGCAGCTCAAGTAAACATGAAGACTAGCTACTTGCCACTCATCTCGTTAGTTTACTTTCTTTGACACCTACTGGGTTGGCTAGGTGTCACAGGTGCTTTGTGGTAATTATACATAATCAACTTTAAATACAAAATATAAACTAGTGGTAATGAACGATGGGATACACCCGAACCGGCCCCAAGCTGAACCGGACCCTGGGTTAATTAACAGTAACGATGGTTTGGTGGTAATTATCTTTAATGGATTTATTTTTTTATATAAAAAGCAAGGTGAACATAACAGTATACGGAACAATTGACATTGAGTGAACGCAATCAGTGTCAAATAAGAGCATACGCTTAAGACAACATGTAAATTAATTCGCTCACGATAATCCGTTCAAAGAAATATTAAAACAACACATTCACTTTAATCGCTCAATGAGACGTGCGTAAAATAACAGTTAAATTTTGGAGCTGAAGATTGTTTTAGTTTTCATACTGTTAGCAGAATTCACTCTGTGAAAGGTGGTTAATGTGTGTTGAAAATATTGACAAATGTTACACACATGGAAACATGAGAAAATATGAAGGACGACATTATTATTTGTGAATTCGTTTCTGGAAACTTTGGCATAACAAAGGTGAAACGTGAATTCATTATATTGGATTTATGTGCTATTCTTATATTGGATTAATGTGTCAGTTCTGTGGATACGATACAAGGAAATGTAAGTACACGTTTTATTAGCCGAGAGCCGCGATGGCATTTTATTCGAGTTTAACATAGTATCGTTTTGCAATTGATCTTTTAGATTCTTAAAAGAATTACATAAAATGTCCTCTACCACAGGATCTACGTGATCAGCAGCACTTGCATGTTAACTCGCCTCTCATCGACACTAATATTCGCAAGTATATTTTCAAAAATCGATATTACATGTAAAGACATATGAATAATATGTTTTCGTCATTTATGTTCAAGGAACTTTAATTTATATGTCTATGTAGAAATATTTACTTCTCGGGGCCGGTTCGGGTCAAATATCAGGGGCCGGTTCGGGTCAAATATCAGGGGCCGGTTCGGGTCAAATATCAGGGGCCGGTTCGGCTTGTGGCCGGTTCTGGGGTAATTCTGAACGATTAACGTTTGGAGAACGACAGTGATGACAACTTCGCATGCATACTGCACCAGTACCTGGCAGCTGAATATTCTATAGCAATCTCCAGTTTCAAAGGAAATTATCAGTAAACTATTACAAATGATACTTACTGAACAATCTTAATATATGACATCCAGTAACAGCTGACAACACTTTTCTTGGAGTGTTTCAAGCAAGCCTTCCGCGCGGAGGCACGTTGTTTACAATTTTGACAGAGTTGCTTCCCTTACCAAATTTTAACCAATCGACGAGTGGTATGTCGTATCCCTGCTGAACTGTAATCATGGCGGATTACAGGGACAACGTGGTTTCGGGAATCTTCACATTTACTAAAGAAGATGGAAATTCCTCACTGGATTCGCATAACATGCTGACAGTGATAGACCATCACCAACTGTTTGGAATTCAGGTGATACAAACATTCTCGCTTGTGTTTGTTACCAATAACTTAAGTATTTTCGTTTGTTTATTACTATAGTTGGAATTACTTTTATGAAAGTCTTATAAATTTTATCATTGTTGATTATGTGGTTATACGCAGAATTACACTTGACACATCCACGGTGACTGATGAGATAATAAGATGACACTTTGATGGCTGGCTGAATTGTTGTTACGTCTTACCCCAGGAATGATAGTCATTCTGTCCAAATTGTCATACGATTTTAACGAGCTGAATTCGACGTTCTGGTGATTTCGACGATTGCATTGCACGCGCTATATCGGGGGAGTACGTGTGCGATCGGAGTGCACAAACAGTTTCACTGGTAGGGCGGGTGCCCAGTCGCTGTCGTGAGAAGTTTTATTGACAATGGAAATCGGGAAGTAAAGTTATATAAAAATCAAACAAACATCAATATTATTTACCTGAGATCGTTAATACCACTTCAGATGCAAAATCAGTTGCCTTTAGAACAAAAAATAGAAAGCGAAAATTCAGTTAGATCAGTCGTCTGCTGGTGACAGGCAATATATAAATAGGAAGCCACATGATCACAAGACTTCCTCGCAGTGCGGAGCAAAAAGTATGGCTCATCGTCGAAAACCCATACAAAATACCCGCATGTTACGAGCGGCAACAGTTTCGCCGATACGATGCCATCAACACTATTTTCGTAGGGAACACTTGGTATTTTTGTGTGAAATAGATGAATATATCCTTTATCACTCAAGGTTAGTAAAATAAAAACTTTAAATGGTATTACAGATAGAAAATACATTTTTGTCTTACATCGTCGAAAACCCCTGACACTGGGATATGACAATTTGGAAAGAATGACATACCAAAGAAGGGGCAATTTTATATATTGAATTGGCACAGATGTCCATGACAGCAATTCATTGACCAGATTTTGTGCCTCATGAACAAGCTGAAACCTATATCGTGGATTCAAGTGGGTGAGTTTATTTTTATGCACCATGATATTCCAGCAATGTCATGGTGAGGAACACCAAAAATGGGCTTCACACATTGTACCCATGTTGGGAATCGAACCCAGGCCTTGACGTGGCGAGTGAATGCTTAACCATTGGGCTAACCCACCGCCTTCGTGGATTCGAAGCCTGCTGCACCTTGATTATGTTGTCAACACCAAACCCATGCTCACAGGGTTTCACATCAAAGCATCAAAAGGCTGATTCACTTTGGGCTTCACTTCCATATGAAGATGACATTATGTGACTAAGACATTGTTCAAAGCAGAGTTAAATCTATCTCTAAGCACAATTAAGCCAACACACAGTGAACCAGCAGGAATAAAAAAGAATTTGCTGATCTCAAGAATATGTTTATAAGAAAAGTTTCACTTTTTACAACTTCTTAATCCCTATGAAAGATCCTTTAGGTCACTTTTTACATCAAGCATGCAGGGCTCCAGATAAGTGTTGTATCCCTTGTACGGATAGAAAATATGCACGATATGGTAGGAAATAATTTAGAAAACGTAGCAGATATGCACCACAGCAATGGTGTATGATTAGAATCATTTACAGACATATTTATCTGAAAAGTATTTTATTGTTTATGGACCTATTTACACAAGAGTAGCAATGTTGTGGTGCATATATGAAACGAAACACAAGATAACTGATACGCCATTAAATTCCATTCAGTACTCTAAATGTACTTTTAAGTTTTTCCAGTACTCCTATATTGAAAAAATAAGGAGTACATACTCCTGATGTTGAAAGATTATCCGAGCCCTGAGCATGTGTTGCTAAAGAGAAATGCTCACCCAGATTTTCACAGGGTTATTCCCCTTACTGTGGGCTTGTGTTTAGATGGTCAGGCATAGGAAAAGTTGTTTTGTACTTACAGCTTGTCAGCAAGGAAAAGTGAATGTCTTTTCAGCATGGTGAGACATGTATGAGATTTTGTATTGTTTCAGAAAGCTTCCTACCTGCAAGACACCATTGGTCACATACACAGCTGTTTAAACACAGCAGCTAACAGGTAAGGTTTACTTCAGTAAGGCTTCGTGTTGGTCTAATGGAAAGAATGTCTGTGGTTTCAACCCCTGGCTGCTTTGTACCAAAGATATTAAAATATGTTACTTGTTGTTACCTTGTCTGGCTCTCAGGGTTATTTACAAGCATTGGTCAGGACTGGTACAGAGATGCCAACCACTCCAATTTTGGAAGAGTTACTTGGATTTTCAAATACAAAATCCACTCTCTGATTTGTCTATAAAAACTCTGATTTTTAAATATAATACAAATACGTTTTTGAATTTAGAAAGTTTGAATTTTTTTAGTAAATAGCCATTTAAAGGTGTTCATTTGAGTTAAGTATTATCTGGTTAAGTGTGCCCAGAAATTCCCCCTTTCACGCTCACCCACAACTCGCACCTTCAGGGCTTGGGATTTGCTTTTAGCAGGGAGACTATTTAACGGGGAGTGGTCACTCCTCGAAAAGCTCCTTAGCGTATGCCTCGGCTTGTCACGTGACCAGTGTAGCCAATATGGCGGCAGCTTAGTTTTTAAGATTGAGCCCGATTTATTTTCAACAGCTGATTACATTCGCTGAGTGTTGTGACAATTGAAAACCTACATGTAGAAGGCAGGTCGCCTATTCTGTCACTTCATTTTAAGTCAAATAATTCTTATTAGTGTCAGTATTAGTACAGTAGATTTGTAGTAAAGTTTCAGCGACGAAAGACTAAATTCTATTGTTAAAAACTTCTTTCACATTTTCGTGTAATTTTTAGAAGGAAATATACCTTTAGTTGAAAAGTGTTTGCAAGTAATAGTGATAGTTTTATAACTTTAAAAAAATGTTAGGGTGTATTTGAGGTGTGTGAAAAATATGACATATCGCCGATCTGATCTGACCCGCCATTGAAATACTACAGGGTGTTGTTTGAGTGTTTCTAGTTATTGTTCTAAAACTTCTTTCACATACACCTTTAATTTTTATGAGGGGAATGTACCAACAGGTGAAAGGTGTTTGCAAGTAATAGTGATAGTTTCATAATTTAAAAAAAAATGTTAAGGTGTATTTGATGTGTGTGAAAAATGTGACATATCGCCAATCTGTTCCGATCCGCCACTGATGCTTGTGATGCTTGAGTGTTATAGTTCTAAAACTTCTTTCGCTCAGTCAGATACCATAGGAAGGACACTTGTTTCGTATAATTCGTATCTTCATATTTGACAAAACTGGAAAGGTGTTTACAACGCTTAGTGATATATTTAAACTTTCTGTTTTTGAGGGGTGTGTGACAGTGTCAGTTAACATTCTGTCAATGTCCATGCCATTGCGCTTCATTCATTCATTCCAAATGATACAATAAACTGGCTGGAGTACTGTTAAACGCAGCCGAAGTTGCGCTGGGAATGAACCAAGTCACTGTGCGCGATGGAGCATGACGAGGCACACACTAATTAGTACAAATGGTAAAGAAAGCAAGCGAGTGACCTATCCCTGTTGTAGATTATCCCTGCTTTTAGCAAGACAGGACTCCGCTTTCATTTGACTCAGTGTTGGCATCTCTGCTGGTACAAGCACACTGATGTTTTCCATAGAATTTGGTCAACAAAACTGTAGATTGTGGTTGTTATTTATCTCTCAAGTTCTGTTCTTAGATGGTAACTGCTGTTGTAATATCTCTATTATTCTTGGATTATAATAGCTGTAAGGTATTCTCTGCAAACACTAACATTGGCATTGACTTGGAAATATCATGATGATTTGATGGAAATTGGCTTTCACAATTACTGTGTTGGCCTATGTATTAGAGAGGGTACATAAGTCCTGAAACTTGCAAAGTAAATTTAAACTTACCAGATTTTTTAACGTAGCCAGCGGCTGAAGGGATGATATAAATCAAGCTAGGGTCCATGCAGGTAGCAAAAGTACTGTAAGTCCCAATGGTCCCTAGTGTGGTGATTTACCTTCAGTTGTTGGCAATACATAGCTCATTTTTATATTGTATTATCCAAAATAGTTGTTTACTTTTAAAGATATATGTTGGCTAGTCTTAACTCATTTTGTGATAAGTTAGTAATTTTTATGTCCTTTGTTGACAGGGTTTTATTAATTATGTATATTTATTAGTGTTGGGAATTGGTTGAAATCTCACAATTGATGATTGTTTCATTACCAACGAACAATCATCGAAAAAAATTGGTTAGCATCATTTTTCAGATTTTCCTATCCAGGTTGTTATTGAAGAAGAGTATAACATGATGCAACTTGTTACTTTAAAGTGATGACTGATATATCATGAACATAAACTTCCTGGAGTCTTAGAGAAATATTCAGTCATGACTTTTCAGTTAGTGAAGTGAGTTTTTTAAGAAATAAACATGTTACCAGGCCCTGACAACTTCTAAGATATGTTCCATTGTCAAGTATTTCAAAGACTAAAACAGTAGTTCCAAAATCATTTATGTTCGATTATGAGAAAATGTGATCGATTGCTTGGTCGTTTGGTCACTGTGACCCACCTTCGATTATTTCAATTAATCGGAACACCGCTAATATTTATAATGAATATAGAATTTGTTTTAGTCACGATATGGCTGAAATATTGCCAATGTGATTTTAAATCTTAACTCACTCACTCACTCACTCCTATGTATTACTAAAGTATGTTTACGGCGACTGATGGGAATGGCTTGTCTCTAGGCCTGATGGTCTGGTGCTGCTGGAGAGAATGGTTGCACAATGTTCGACAGAAGTGTTCACTGCAAATGTCAACACCTGGTTTAAGCTGCTGCTGCAAGTTTTACAGGTGAGGATAACTTCAAATCCCCTCTGGTCAGAATAATAACAATTTCACCTGTCCCAATGGTAAAGTATGTACACAAATCGTTGAGGACGAGGGCTAGTCAGGTACAAATGATGACTTTCTCACATGCAGTTAAGGAATTCTCTTTTCAATAAGAGGTTGCACTGGGGCTTGTTGTTTATAGCTAAATTAACCTCATCCTTGATAATCTCCAAGGTATCGTTATATATATAATATACTCTACATTATACCCTGGATGCATCCACGGCTTGGCCCCATAATTATATTCCCTCCCTTTGCTGGCTCCGCATTCTCACAGTAGCCAATCAGCTAAGCCGCTGTTACATCCGAGCTTGCCAGTGGTAACAAAGATAGCGGTCACAGTCATGAAGGTTTGTTCGCAGTGCGACTCAGATTTTTGGGGAAATAATACAGACAAATTGACAGATCTGAAACTATAAAAAATATATGAAAGAACTCCTTCTACATCTTTCAGAGTACCTCTGCATCAATTGTGTTGCAAAGTTTAAACGCTTAGATAATTTAAGAAGTGAAAGTGAGTTGTGATTGGTTCGCTAATCTTCCCAGCATAGACACCTGATTGGATAAAAAGCTGGCCAAGGGAGGTAATATAATTATGTGGCCAAGGCGTGGATGCATCCAGGGTATAGTGTAGAGTGATCGTAACGTATACCCTGGAGATTATCGAGGATATATTAACCTTGACTTTCATTGTAAGATGTATGATCATGCTATCTACCCCCAGTCTGCCAGATTTCCTGACTTATAGATTGTTAAGTCTAGGATGATCACTGAAACCATTTATCTATACACCTTAATGCTCTACATGCTTAATGTGTTTTTCTTGCATGCCCATTCTAGAAATTAACTTCCTCCGTTCAGAGGTACAGATAAGCTGCGTATCTGCGTATATTACACAAATATTTATGTGAATACTCAATTACTATTAAGTCTGTTGCTTACAAGTACACTTGAATTTTGGTAAATACTCAATAAATGTGATCTTACATGTATACACACAAAAATGTCAAATCTTAGCTTGCGTACTGATGGATAGATAAAATAACTGAGGTATATTGACAGGTTCTATTTCAACACAGGAACTTGGCAACTTGCAGTCTTTCTCATCGTATCTCATATTACAGATCGAACTTTTTTATATTTTTAAAATTAATTGAAAACGGCAAAATACCCAATTGAGTTTGAGTGAGGTGAGTACAATTTATTTTGTTACTCAAAGGAAAATTAGGAATACCCAGTTGAGATGATACCCAGTTGAGCGAGTAAATAACTCAATGACGCAATAAGTTATCTGTAGCTCTGCTTAATAATGTTTTTTTTGCATGCCCATTCTAGTAATTAACTTCCTCCATTCCAGTCACACAGTGATGTGCAAGAGAAGCAGCAATCTTGTCAGATCCTAGTGGAGATGATTGCAACATCGAGCAGCTTTCCCGAGATAAACAGGGAGATATCAGCATCCATCATCCCTAAACTCCTGCCCCTGCTCCTCGTAGCAACATCAGCTGTAAGTGTGTATTAATCAAGATGAAGCTGTAACCAGGACTTGACATTACCATGGTAACCGCTTCTTAAAATGTCCATTCAACGCAGAAATGTGCATCAAGTCTCGACTAGAATTATAAAGCTGATGTAATTAAAGTAATTTATTATTTTTCCATATCCTGACTCATACTTATTCCTTTATCTCCCTCCAAGGTTGAGTGGAAATGTCCTTATGTTCCCAAAAACAGTCAAAGACTTACTCACCCCAACAGGGCCTCTTTGCCTCCTTCCCGCCATTATTTCTTATGTGACCGATGGCATTATGGTCCCTCTCTCCGAAATGTATGGGGCGGTGGGGTAGCCTAGTGGTTAAAGCGCTCGCTCATCACGCCAAAGGCCCGGGTTCAATTCCCCATATGGGTACAATGAGAGGGGACGGCTGGGAGGGCCTTGAAGATATGTGTTAAGCCCATTTCTGGTGTCCCCCGCCATGATATTGCTGGAATATTGCTAAAAGCGGCGTAAAACCATACTCAGTCAGTCAGTCAGTCCAAAATCTGCCCCGACTAAGGCTTGCAGGGAGGCCAGATAGTGGTGAGAGGGGACGCTTGGGAGGGCCCTCAGCATATGAGTCACTCTCTCCGAAATCTGCCCCGACTAAGGCTTGCAGGGAGGCCAGATAGTGGTGAGAGGGGACGCTTGGGAGGGCCCTCAGCATATGAGTCAGGATAAGTATAAAATATCAATTTTATCATAAAAATGACATATTTCTACACCATTTCATATTTCTAGTGAGACCCTTTACATTATTAGTCATGGTCCTCTGGACCCCTAGTTACGCAGACTAAGGTGAAACCCTCTGCTAGTGTATTTCTAGTAATGCGTTCATCCAAATATTGGCGTTGTAAAAGTACTGGTGCAGTAAGGTCAAGGGTTTGAATCCCAGTCACAGTACACTGAATTTGATCCGACCAGTCCTTGTTTGATCCCCAAAATGCCGATCACCAGGCAGGATGAAAACAAGTACCATCTTTTAGCATCATTGGTACGACAAGGACGGATCAAGCCCAGACCCTTCTGTCTCGGTCAGACACTGTCCACTTCACCGAAGTCAGTCAGCCTTAATGTAAGTGGGGTAGCCTAGTGGTTAAAGCGTTCGCTCATCACGCCAAAGGCATGGGTTTGATTCCCCACATGGGTACAATGTGTGAAACCCATTTCTGGTGTTCCCCGCCGTGATATTGCTAAAAGCGGCTTAAAACTAAACTCACTCACTCACTAGCTTAATGTAAGTGGGGCAGTGGGGTAGCCTAGTGGTTAAAGGGTGGGCTCATCACGCCGAAGGCATGGGTTCGATTCCCCACATGGTTACATTGTGTGAATTCCATTCCATTCCATTCCATTCCATTCCATTCCATTCCATTCCCCCACCGTGATATTGCTGGAATATTGCTGAAAGTGGTGTAAAACCCAACTCACTGACTTGTGTTGTTACAGTGGATGGAGGCAGCAACTCGATGTGTTGCTTCATGTGTATCTCATTTCTCCGGTCCCTGCAGGGTGTTTAGGGTAAGTGTCATCATTCATTTAGTTTGTCCTCGTCAAACATTTACTTGCTATCCATACAGTGTAAAAACTTAGAAAATAACAGCTTGGGACCCTTAGATAGCAGAAAGTGTTTCTTTCATTAGAAGCATTTTCATTATAAGGCCAGACAACTTATATTTATTGTTTTACGGATCCGCTGGTCGTATTTTTTCAAGAATAAGAAATAAATCTAAATTAATTTTCCCCGCTCAAAAAATAAAATCCTCATGTTTTATTGGCCAAAAATGTAAACTTAAAAAAAAATTACTGATTGTTTTTTGCCCCATATACACTTCATAAATTGCCAAAAAATACAATACTTTAGTTTTTACAAGGAATATTACTTTGACTGGTGATTTTTATTTTTTATTTCTTTCCCTCCTGCCTTTAGTTTTTTTAGGACAAAAATCCATAAAACAAGAAATAAAATTGGTCTGGCCTCAGCATAGTTTACAGTAGAACTACCACTGAGATCTGTGAAGATCCAGGTTAGAATTGATCTTTCTGTTTGTCTTTAGAATCAACTATAGGGATGGGGTGCTCATGCTCATTGTATCCGAATTGAGTAGATCATTGTTCATGATGTCAATCACTGGATTGTCTGGTCCAGACTCGAATATTTACAGGCATCTGTCATACAGCTGGAATATTGCTGAGTGCGGCATTAAACAACATGCTGATACAGATGAAAATGCATTTTCTCGTTGAATGGGTGATTAATGTAGATGAACAGTTTTGTTATGCATCAACCATAAGACGTTTACCAAAGCAATTGATAGCAAAGCTGCCGCGCGTACAAAATTGTGCAGCTAGACTTGTGACAAAGACAAAGAAGGACAGCCACATTTCTCCAGTGTTAAAGAAACATGGTTGAAGATGCGGACAGAATCACTTATAAAGTGCTCCTGTTAACCTTCAAGGCAAGGGCAGGCCTAGCCCCTGTGTATCTCCAGGAACCCCCTCCAGGAGTACAAGTCCGCGATGTCTCTTAGATCCACGGGACAAGGCATGCTGTGTGTTCCACACGCAAGGACCACCACCTATGGGGATCGCCAGAGCAGCTCTACGACTCTGAAATGATCTGCCATTAGAACTGAGACTTGAAAATAACTTGGCCACTTTTAAAACCAATCTCAAAACCCACCTTTTCTCAAAGACTTTGCCTAGACCGAGTGGACATTGTTGACACATGTGGCATGCATGCTCTCAAAGCGCTTTAGAGCAGTTATACTGACTGGATTAATGCACTATATAAGTTCTTAGTTGATGATGATGATTTTGTAATTATTTGTCTAATGTTATTGATGTCATATTTTTATGCCCTCGCCATATATGGCTGGGGGCATAAAGGGTTACCCTTCGTGTCCGTCCGTACGAAACAGGGAATGTACTCTATACACTTCTCCGCAAAATCGCTCTGTGGAATTCAATGAACTTATACATGGGCTTTCTTGGGACTCTAATGGTGTGCATCTCATTTTTTTTTTTTTTTTTTTTTTTTAAGTTTAGAGACATTTGAACTTAGGTACATTTTGCTGAATTTCTCTATGATGATAGTGTAATAGTGGATGAAGTCTATCCACTTCTCCACAAAAACTGCTCAACAGAATTGAATGAACTTCTATATGTCTTTCGTAGGGACTCTAAAGGTGTGCATTTCAATTTTTTTATGCAATTTCTTAATTTTGTCACTTTTACAGATGTTTGAACTTAGTTGAATTTTGTTCTGTTCAGCCTGTTTGTTCCATCCAACAGGGGGTTGTACGTTATCCACTTCTCCGAAAAAACTACTTTATGGAATTCATTTAGATTACACATGTGCTTTATAGGGACTCTAAAGGCGTGCATCTCATATTTTGATTTTGTATTTTATTTATTTTTCCAATTTTAATGCTGTTTGAACTTACATAAATTTTGTTGAATTTCTCTCTGAATATAGTGTTATAGGGGATGAAGTCTATCCACTTCTCCACAAATGCTGCTCAACAGAATTGATTGAGCTTCTACGTGTGTTTCATTGGGACTCTAAAGGTGTGCATCTCATACCTTGTTCATCCAGTTTCTTAATTTTGTCACTTCTACAGATGTTGAATTTGGTTCTATTCATCCTGTTCGTCCCATACAACAGGGGGTGTATGTTATCCACTTCTCCTCAAAAATCACTGCACAAAACTCATTTTGCTTACATATGTCTTTTATAGAGACTCTAAAGGTGTGCATTTCATTGTTTTTGTATTTTATAGTTTTTTGTATGTTTAGAGACATTTGAACTTAGATAAATTTTGTTGAATTTCTCTCTGATGATAGTGAAATAGGGGATTAAGTCTATCCACTTCTCCACAAAACCTGCTCAACAGAATTGCTTAAGCTTATACATGTGTTTCATTGGGACTGGAAAGGTGTGCATCTCATAGTTGCATAGATGTTTATTGAACTTGTTCGTGAATTTTGTTCAATTATTGATCTTTATATGATAATAGGTTGTGTTATTTTAACCTGCCATATTGAATATGTTCCAGAATATGCCAAAACGTACCACTTTAGCTTCTACAGCAATCTATTGATTTCACTTGCCGCCACAGTGATATTGCTATTGCTAGTTTATTTACCCTTGTACCATGAACCTTCATGATGTAGGTTTAATTGTACTGTGGTAAGTTCATTGTGACATACATTTACAAATATGTATTTACCTTTGACACTTTGGATATATTTATTTTATAATCAACCATGATATTTATTTAGTAGAAATTAATCACCAGAGCACACTCAGTGTAGGGAACTCTTCTTCCTACAGCAGCGGGGGGCATCTGTGTCCCTGGACACAATTTTTCTTGTTTTTACTGTAATCCATTTCAATGTGTAAAATGGACTTGTCAGCAACAAGTAACATTCATGCTGGTCAAGTGGCAGCAAGGTAGTGGTAACTCTGAAGAATTCTGTAATTGTTATTATTAAACAAAAATCTTTTTCTTGCATCTTGCATTCATAACTGACATTTTCTCATCTAGTCAAAGATTGAATCCATGATGCTGCGTCAGCTAGATCGGCCGAGTCCCAGCACTGCCAGCATCCGCTGTCTGGCACTCCTGGCTCGACTGGGACCTAGTCAGGTGGCCAAACAGATAGACGGATGGATGGAGATGTGTCGAGTCCTCCTCTCTTCTCTCAATCAGTGTCTTTCCTGTCTCTATGAAGGTCTGGAAACAGGTACAGTGTGACTTCAGGGGGAGTGGTTCTCTATTGTTATCATTGTTAGCTCACCTGGACATTGTTGTATGAAAGGCACTACTGACAGATCATCATAAACATCATCATTGTCGTCATCATCATCATCATCATCATCATCATCATCATCATCATCAACCCGATAAGATCCAGGGAAGACTTATCAACAGCAACCCATGCTTGTCATAAGAGGCGACAAAAGGGATCGAGTGGTCAGGCTCGCTGACTTGATTGACACATGTCATCATATCTCAATCATCATCATAATCAACATCACATCACTATTATTGTTACTAGGCCTATAACGTAAAACTAACAAATAGCATTACTGTTATTATTGCTAAAGGTGGAACATGTCACTAATCCCAAACGGAATAAAACAATGAACAGCAACATAAGTTTTGTGTCACTATGGAGACCACAAATTTTCAAAAAGCAACGTCATCAACAACATCACAAACAAGAAATGTGATGCCGATGACATGACCAAACTAGATCAGAGCGCAGGTCTGGAGGTTGCATTCACGTCACAGCGGCGAGCAGATTTCTGATAACATTAGGGCTGCACAATATAACCGGTTTACCGGTATTTACCGGTTCAGACATGAAATCGATACGTATTGCGATACCCGGATCGAAAACCGGTTTTTCGACATGCATTCGGAAAACTTCGTACCACTCGGTAATCTTCGGATATTTCCATTTTTCACACCGGAAATCAAGTTAAGTTCGGTTTGAAGTTGTGTTCTTAATTTTTGTTCAAGTGTTTCGCAATGTTTTGGATCTGAATGCTATAATATATTTACTCATTATTGACCAGTGATCCCTGATATGTCCTGACCAGGTCAAGTTGCTGTCTAAAATCTCAGGGCTTTTTTGAGAGTGGAGAAACTAGTTCAAAACTAGTAACCACTGTGTTGTTGTTAAATTGTTCTTTTCCTTGTTTCCTTCATTTCAACATGATTAAACGTTTTTATTAAAGCTTAATCAAGCATAGTGATTTTGTTGTGTTTTTGCTTTATAAATCAAGCATTAACCGATTATAAGTAATTTTTTGTGATAAAAATATTCTTGCAATATATTGCAACACGTATCGCAATATATGCTTTTGAATCACAATATATCGCAATATGAAAATTGTCTGCAATTCCCACCCCTAGATAACATGCAGCCATTTACAGGCTAATTCTAGCCATTGAAGCTATAGTTTCTAAGTATTGTTGTACATGTTGTTAACATTGAGGAAATGTAGGTCCTGTGGGTCGGGTAAGTGATCACAATTGACTAGGGAAGAGATTTTGGTGTCAGACCCTGTGTCCAGGGTGCCAGTGGGGTAGGCTTGTAGTTAAAGTGTTCGTTCATTACGCTGAAGTCCTGGGTTTGATTCCCCGCATGGGTACAATATGTGAAGTCCATTTCTGGTGCCCCCCTGTCATGATATTGCTGGAATATTGCAAATAACGGCTTAAAACCATACTCACTCACTCACTTTGTGTCCTGTCTGAATACTTGTCTAAAGATTGACAAGGCCCCTATAATTTCTGTGGAATAGGGACGTGGGGTAGCCTAGTGGTTAAAGTGTTTGCTTGTCAATCCGAAGACCCAGGTTCGATTCTCCACAGTGAAGCCCATTTCAGGTGTCCCCCCACCATGATATTGCTGGAATATTGCTAAAAGCGGCGTAAAACTAAACTCACTCACTCACTTACTATGTGGAATGTTTTACAGACGAAGTGCCAACATCTGAGGAGAGTATCTTCTCCTCCGCCCCAGATACGGAGCCTGGTAGAAGCAATGTCCTGACTGCACGGTACAAGACACTGGGAGTGTGTCTGCAGACACTGCTTGGGTATGTGGGTGATAATGAAATGTTGAAAGTGTTATGTTCTCAGCTCCCTGGGAAGGATATCCTGTTCTGCTTTCAGTTACAAGACAGCAGACACTGCTTGGGTATGTGGGTGATAATGAAATACTGAACGTGTTGTGTTCTCAGCTCCCTGGGAAGGATATCCTGTTCTGCATTCAGTTACAAGTACATGTTAATGTTAAGATGTATACACAGATTTAAACATACTCATTCCACAACACATCCTCGATAATCTCCAGGGTATACGTTAAGATCACTCTACACTATACCCCGGATGCATCCACGGCTTGGCCCGATAAATATATTACCTCCCTTTGCTGGCTCCACATTCTCACATTAGCCAATCAGCTAAGCCGCTGTTACATCCGAGCTTGCCAGTGTCAACAAAGATAGCGGTCGCAGTCGCGAAGGTTTGTTCGCAGTGCAACTCATATTTTTGGGGAAATCATACAGACAAATTGACAGATCTGAAACTTCTACCTCTTTCAGAGTACCTCTGCATCAATTGTGTTGCCAAGTTTAATGGTTAGATAATTTAAGAAGCGAAAGTGAGTAGTGATTGGTACGCTCAACTTCCAAGCGTAGACACCTGACTGGATAAAAAGCCAGCAAAGGGAGGTAATAAAATCATCGGGCCAAGCCGTGGATGTATCCAGGGTATAGTGGAGAGTGATCGTAACATATACCCTGGAGATTATCGAGGATGCCCACAACATTGATGGTTAGGTACATGCCCTACATGGGTTTTATTCTTCACAGGGTTGGGGCGGTGGTGTAGCCTAGTGGTTAAAGCGTTCACTCGTCACGCCGAAGGACCGGGTTCGATTGAATGCATCTATAGTATTTAGCGTCAGTATGCTACATCAATGAAAAGACGAACGAATGTTTTGGATACCCAGTAATATAAATAGGGCTGCAACGATTCGGTTCGATTCATTGAAAATCGAATCTGGCATCAAAGTTTCAATTTTCGATAACCATTATCAAATTTCGTTTCAATATTTGAATACCTATTCAAATTATTTCCACACAGCGAGAACGCAATTTTGAATCCAACTCGAGCAGTTTCAACCTCTGAAATAAGGCAAAACGTGATTGGTTGACGCCAGGCTAATTATCCAGTGAGAATTGTTGTTAACAGACATCGCCAAGTCGAGAATAGATTTCACGCTAAAAACGCCAACTCTGAGAGTTAAATGAAATTTGATGTTTTTACTTGTATGAAGAATCGATTCAAAAATGATCAAATCGAAGGTCCAATATCGAAAATCGAATAGAATCGAGTTCTGGGTGAATCGTTGCAGCCTTAAATGTAAAGTGTGGAATATGTGTTGCAGTGAGAAGCATCCTTCGTCTGTGAAGTTACCGGCTCAGGACGTATTGGGCGTGGTGTGCAGGTGTCTGGCCGTCAACTACAGAATGCTGGTATGTGTTTTTAGAGTCAAACAGATCATGGAACGGAAGATTATTTCTTTTGTCACCAGCCATATTGTTGGTGGAATATTGCAAAAAGCAGTGTAAATAATAATTAACCCACTCATCCACCCAACTTACCACACGCTCAGCCACTCATTCAACCTCTGGCTCAACCCTTCACTCAACCACCCAAATGTTCAGCCTCCATCCCACCTAACCAACCAACCAACAAATCAACCATTCATTCAACCTCTTATTCAACCACGTACTCACTCACTCAACCAATCAACAAGTTAACCTCTCATTCAACCATTAACCCACCCAACTGCCCACTCAACACTCACACCACTATCCAAACACCCATACAATCAACCTACAACCCAACCAAGAAATCAAACACTCAACACAACTGTTGAAAGCTTATGTTTAGTATGGGACAAAAAGTATTGTTTGAGCAAAACATAACAAAATAAACCAGCTATATTCCAAGGAATAACATTGACTGTACTTTATTTTGTTTTCAATCGATTCAGTTAGCGCGCCCCACGACAGACAGAATCCGACTGTTGTCACATCTGCCCGAGTTGCACAAATCCAGTCTCGATCTACTCACTGCCCTCATCATGAGGTATGTCATTGAAAGATTAACTTTACCAGTTCTTTGTATATCTCATAGCTTATTTCTCAACAGGGTTTTACATGACGCGTGATTCCTGCGTATTTGATGCAACAATTTTGTAAACGACTCTCAAAATATTATCATACGGGTCAAGCTTGATGCAAGTTTTATTGGTGGCCCTCACAATTCAGTTGTGATCGATTTGATAAGCAAAAAATGATATTGTTCGATGATAGTTTGACTTTTACAGAGCTGTCAGATTGTTCCAGAGAACACAGAGGAGACAGTAATCCTGGCTGTTTGAATTGAACAATGCTGTAGTTTCATTTGGTGGTGTGGCATACACAGTTACATACTGAGAATGATTAACACAAAGAAATATTACAATTTTCATGACTCCCAAATATTGAAAATGACTCCCCAAAATAAATATTGTGAGTCACCATGACTCCCATTTTTAAAAAGTCTGTGTAAAACCCTGTCTCAATATTGTTTCGTTTGACAAAAGGATGATCTGGAAAGATTTTGTAATCATAAAAGCTGAGAATGTGTTTGTCTTGAATTATCATTGTAGACTAGCTTTGAGTACATCTATAAAGGGGAACATGCTTCAGTCAATCGCAACGGCATATCTTATTATTAATCTCAACTCCCTGGGGATCATACAACTCTTGCTGCCACAAGGCGCACCGAGTTATTACAGCTTTCCCGTCCTTACGAGGTACCCATTGACAGCTGGGTGTACTTGGACACAAAGGCACAGTACTTTGTCCAAGTTTACTGCACGTTGCTGTACCCGCAACTAGGTGTTTGCACGTATTCATGTGGCCACCATCTGGTCATCTACCAACGGATTCGTGGGTTCTTTTAAGTGCACAGGGTTGTGTACTGTACACTAGGGGTTGTGACAACACTGAAAGAGGTCTGCACACAAAGTTGACTCCAAGGTTTTTACACCCGGTCACAGGTGGGCTCGATCCCGGCACCTCATGCTCACTGGATTTAGTTTTGGGCTCGTTTTGGTGTAATCATCACTGATCACTCAATTCATATCACGACCCGTGAAGATCTAGTTAGAACTGATCTTCAGTAACCCATGCTTGTCGTAAGAGGCGACTAACGGGATCGGGTGGTCAGGCTCGCTGACTTGGATGACACATGTCATACTATCCCAAATGCGCAGATCGATGCTCATGCTGTAGATCACAGGATTGTCTGGTCCAAACTCGATTTATTTACAGACCACCGCCATATAGCTGTAATATTGCTGAGTGCAGCGTAAAACTAAACTCACTCACTCACTTGTTATTCCCCCGGCATGCGGGGGATATAGTCGACGCCTTGTCCGTCTGTCCATCCGTCCGTCCGTCCGTCCATCTGTAATCATTTTGTTTCCGGAGCATAACTCAGAAACCGTTCAATATTTTTCAGCAAAAATTGGTAGATATATCAAACAGAACCTAAGGTGGTGCCTTTAGCTATTTACAGATTTTTGGCATTTTTCTTTTTCTCGGTTTCTATGGAAACGTTTTGGACTTAGCCTTAAAGGGAGGGGTGGGCTTCGTTTCCAGAGCATAACTCGAAAACCATGCTTTTTCTGCAAAATTTGGTAGATATAACAAACAGAACCTAAAGTGGTGCCTTTTGCTGTTTACAGATTTTTGGCATTATTATTTTACCTGGTTTCCATGGAAACGATTCGGACTTAATCTCAGAAGGGAGGGGTGGGCTTCGTTTCCGGAGCACAACTCAAAAATGTTCAATATCTTTCTACAGAACTTGGCAGATACATGTGACAGATCTTGAAGTGATACCTTTTGTTATTTACTGATTTTTGGCATATTTATTTTTCTCGTTTTCCATGGAAACGATTTGGACCTAGTCTAAAAATAATCAAGCTGGACTTTAAGTAACTGTCAGATGATTTGTTCTTTCAAATATGTTGGGGCTGGGGGGATATGTCATTTTCTGATGACTCTTGTTGTACACAGTTGCCGAATGCAGTTACTTCCTTTGAGCGACCTCATCAACAAGCTGTTCCTCCAGAGTTTGGCCTTCACCCATCTGGATCCTGTGTACGCCCAGGAACGGCCGCTCAGGTGAGGGACGGAGATTGCAGGGTTGGAAGACGGACAGTCAAGGATGAGTGGTGAAAGGGGGAAGGGACACAATGGGGGGAGGACACAAGCTGGTAGGGGAGGGGAGGACATGCAGTATAAGGGGTTGTCTTGCATGTACTGGACGCTTAGACTATGACCTTAACATTGAAGACTGATTCAGCTTGGGAGTATTTCGACAGGACTTCTTGCACGTACTGGACACTTAAATCTTGACATTAACATTGAAGACTGCTTCGGTTTGGGAGTACTTCGATTGGACAGCAATCTTGAGTTCCTTTCATAGTCAGGGATGGGTAGGTAGTGGAAAGGGAGGACACGGTCAGGGAAAGTGACACCGAGTTAGAAGGGGCAGTCTTATATGTACATGATACTGTAGTACAGTAGAATACTTTTATAACGAACACGGATCTAACGAACTGAAGGTTATAGCGAACTGTTTTGAGAGCTTGAATAAACCTTATATTATCATGTAAAAAAGTGAATAGCGAACTATGGATATAACAAACTAATTTCAGTGGTCCCTTGGAGTTCGTTATAAAGGTATTTTACTGTAATTTTAAAAACAAATATTACTGCAATCTGGAGTGTACTTTGAAGGAAAGTAATCTTTAGTGTTCTTTCGGTCAAATATTGTCTAGAAGAAGCTGTATTCTAGGAATTTCTTTCTTGATAGAATGGACTTGAACTCACCTGTTTCTGATGAAACTTGAGAGAGAGCTTGAATACTGCTGGAATTGTATAGATTGTCCTTGAAAAGTGCGGGAATTTGGATCATTTATCAATGTTTAACTATAATACATTACGTAGATAAATTAGATCTAAAAAATATTTTATTATCGATACAATGTTATCGTGTTGTGTACCCTGCATAAGAATCGCCATCACCCTTATAGCCATAAATTATCAACAGTCCCTAAGGTGGCCTCGTGATTACAGTGTGTGCTCATCACACTCACTGCCATGGTTTTAGTCTGACCAGGGGTATAATATGTGATGGAGTACTCTGTTAGAAGTTCCGATATTGTTCCAGCATCCCGAGGGAAGCGACATACAACAGCATGGTCCAGTGGCTGAAGGTGGTCGGGTGTTCGTGTAACCTGGTGACGGAAGAGAAGGAACTGGTCAAGGAGGTCCTACATGATGTCACGCCTGTCACAGACACGCTCAAGGTAGTACGGTCAGATTGTTGCACTGTGCTTGTTTGAACATATTAAATATAAACAAATGTGTGAGTGCCTACAGCATTCATGCATGTCGTTCAATGTTTTGAATTTTAACATTTGGGATTGGTCTTTTGTTATTGGTAGTCATGAGTAAGAATTGCATATGGGGGCATTACATAAAATGGGTTGAAACATGATATACTTTTGTATCAACCAACCTCGACAAATTTTTCATGAATTTATTAAGTGATTACAGGGTAACTTTGATAATATATTCGCATTGTCCATGGTATGTTTACAGTGACCATGGTAATGGTATGTCGTATTGACCTTGGTATGTCTGCATAGACCATGTCTGCATTGACCATGGTATGTCCCCATTGACCATGGTAATGGTATGTCGTATTGACCTTGGTATGTCTGCATAGACCAGGTCTGCATTGACCATGGTATGTCTGCATTGACCATGGTAATGGTATGTCGTATTAACCATGGTATGTCTCCATTGACCTTGGTATGTCTGCATTGACCAGGTCTGCATTGATCATGGTATGTCTGCATTGACCAGGTCTGCATTGATCATGGTATGTCTGCATAGACCAGGTCTCCATTGACCATGGTATGTCTGCATTGACCATGGTAATGGTATGTCGTATTGACCTTGGTATGTCTGCATTAACCATGGTATGTCTCCATTGACCTTGGTATGTCTGCATTGACCATGGTATGTCTGCATTGACCAGGTCTGCATTGATCATGGTATGTCTGCATAGACCAGGTCTCCATTGACCATGGTATGTCTGCATTGACCATGGTAATGGTATGTCGTATTGACCTTGGTATGTCTCCATTAACCATGGTATGTCTCCATTGACCTTGGTATGTCTGCATAGACCAGGTCAGCATTGATCATGGTATGTCTGCATTGACCAGGTCTGCATTGATCATGGTATGTCTGCATTGACCAGGTCTGCATTGATCATGGTATGTCTCCATTGACCAGGTCTGCATTGACCATGGTATGTCCCCATTGACCATGGTAATGGTATGTCGTATTGACCTTGGTATGTCTGCATAGACCAGGTCTGCATTGACCATGGTATGTCTGCATTGACCATGGTAATGGTATGTCGGTATGTCTGTATTAACCATGGTATGTCTCCATTGACCTTGGTATGTCTGCATTGACCAGGTCTGCATTGATCATGGTATGTCTTCATTGACCAGGTCTGCATTGACATGGTATGGTATGTCTGCATTGACCATGGTAATGGTATGTCGTATTAACCATGGTATGTCTCCATTGACCTTGGTATGTCTGCATTGACCAGGTCTGCATTGATCATGGTATGTCTACATTGACCAGGTCAGCATTGATCATGGTATGCATTGACCTTGGTATGTTTGCATTGATCATGGTATGTCTGCATTGACCATGGTATGTCTCCATTGACTTTGGTAATGGTATGTCTGCATTGACCATGGTATGTCTGCATGACCATGGCAATGGTATGTCATATTGACCTTGGTATGTCTCCATTGACCATGGTAATGGTATGTCTGCATTGACCATGGTAATGGTATGTCATATTGACCTTGGTATGTCTGCATTGACCATGGTAATGGTATGTCTCCATTGACCATGGTAATGGTATGTCGTATTGACCTTGGTATGTCTGCATTGATCATCGTAATGGTATGTCTGCATTGATCATGGCATGTCTGCATTGACCATGGTAATGGTATGTCTCCATTGACCATGGTAATGGTATGTCGTATTGACCTTGGTATGTCTGCATTGATCATCGTAATGGTATGTCTGCATTGATCATGGCATGTCTGCATTGACCATGGTAATGGTATGTCTGCATTGATCATGGCATGTCTGCATTGACCATGGTAATGGTATGTCTGCATTGATCATGGTATGTCTCCATTGACCTTGGTATGTCTGCATTGACCAGGTCTGCATTGATCATGGTATGTCTTCATTGACCAGGTCTGCATTGACCTTGGTATGTCTGCATTGACCATGGTAATGGTATGTCGTATTAACCATGGTATGTCTCCATTGACCTTGGTATGTCTGCATTGACCAGGTCTGCATTGATCATGGTATGTCTACATTGACCAGGTCAGCATTGATCATGGTATGCATTGACCTTGGTATGTTTGCATTGATCATGGTATGTCTGCATTGACCATGGTATGTCTCCATTGACTTTGGTAATGGTATGTCTGCATTGACCATGGTATGTCTGCATGACCATGGCAATGGTATGTCATATTGACCTTGGTATGTCTCCATTGACCATGGTAATGGTATGTCTGCATTGACCATGGTAATGGTATGTCATATTGACCTTGGTATGTCTGCATTGACCATGGTAATGGTATATCTCCATTGACTGCATGGTAATGGTATGTCTGTATTGACCTTGGTATGTCTGCATTGATCATCGTAATGGCATGTCTGCATTGATCATGGCATGTCTGCATTGACCATGGTAATGGTATGTCTGCATTGATCATGGCATGTCTCCATTGACCATGGTAATGGTATGTCATATTGACCTTGGTATGTCTCCATTGACCATGGTAATGGTATGTCTCCATTGACCATGATAATGGTATGTCGTGTATTGACCATGGTATGTCTGCATTGACCATCGTAATGGTATGTCTGCATTGATCATGGCATGTCTGCATTGACCATGGTAATGGTATGTCTGCATTGATCATGGTATGTCTGCATTGATCATGGCATGTCTGCATTGACCATGGTAATGGCATGTCTCCATTGACCATGGTAATGGTATGTCGTATCGACCTTGGCATGTCTGCATTGACCATGGTAATGGTATGTCTGCATTGATCATGGCATGTCTCCATTGACCATGGTAATGGTATGTCGTATCGACCTTGGTATGTCTGCATTGACCATGGTAATGGTATGTCTGCATTGATCATTGCATGTCTCCATTGACCATGGTAATGGTATGTCGTATTGACCTTGGTATGTCTGCATTGATCATGGCATGTCTCCATTGACCATGGTAATGGTATGTCGTAATGACCTTGGTATGTCTGCATTGACCATGGTAATGGTATGTCTGCATTGATCATGGTAATGGTATGTCGTATTGACCTTGGTATGTCTGCATTGATCATGGCATGTCTCCATTGACCATGGTAATGGTATGTCGTATTGACCTTGGTATGTCTGCATTGACCATGGTATGTCTCCATTGACCATGGTAATGGTATGTCTGCATTGACCATGGTAATGGTATGTCGTATTGACCTTGGTATGTCTGCATTGATCATGGCATGTCCTTATCATAACAGTATGATCATTGATCATGGTAATGGTATGTCGTATTGACCTTGGTATGTCTGCATTGATCATGGCATGTCTCCATTGACCATTGTAATGGTATGTCATGTATTGACCTTGGTATGTCTCCATTGACCATGGTAATGGTATGTCGTATTGACCTTGATATGTCTGCATTGATCATGGTAATGGTATGTCGTATTGACCTTGGTATGTCTGCATTGACCATTGTAATGGTATGTCGTATTGACCTTGGTATGTCTCCATTGACCATGGTAATGGTATGTCGTATTGACCTTGATATGTCTGCATTGATCATGGTAATGGTATGTCGTATTGACCTTGGTATGTCTGCATTGATCATGGCATGTCTCCATTGACCATTGTAATGGTATGTCGTATTGACCTTGGTATGTCTCCATTGACCATGGTAATGGTATGTCGTATTGACCTTGATATGTCTGCATTGATCATGGTAATGGTATGTCGTATTGACCTTGGTATGTCTGCATTGACCATTGTAATGGTATGTCGTATTGACCTTGGTATGTCTCCATTGACCATGGTAATGGTATGTCGTATTGACCTTGGTATGTCTGCATTGACCATGGTAATGGTATGTCTCCATTGACCATGGTAATGGTATGTCGTATTGACCTTGGTATGTCTGCATTGATCATCGTAATGGTATGTCTGCATTGATCATGGCATGTCTGCATTGACCATGGTAATGGTATGTCTGCATTGATCATGGCATGTCTCCATTGACCATGGTAATGGTATGTCATATTGACCTTGGTATGTCTCCATTGACCATGGTAATGGTATGTCTCCATTGACCATGATAATGGTATGTCGTATTGACCTTAGTATGTCTGCATTGATCATCGTAATGGTATGTCTGCGTTGATCATGGCATGTCTGCATTGACCATGGTAATGGTATGTCTGCATTGATCATGACATGTCTGCATTGATCATGGCATGTCTGCATTGACCATGGTAATGGCATGTCTCCTTTGACCATGGTAATGGTATGTCGTATCGACCTTGGCATGTCTGCATTGACCATGGTAATGGTATGTCTGCATTGATCATGGCATGTCTCCATTGACCATGGTAATGGTATGTCGTATCGACCTTGGTATGTCTGCATTGACCATGGTAATGGTATGTCTGCATTGATCATGGCATGTCTCCATTGACCATGGTAATGGTATGTCGTATTGACCTTGGTATGTCTGCATTGATCATGGCATGTCTCCATTGACCATGGTAATGGTATGTCGTATTGACCTTGGTATGTCTGCATTGACCATGGTAATGGTATGTCTCCATTGATCATGGTAATGGTATGTCGTATTGACCTTGGTATGTCTGCATTGATCATGGCATGTCTCCATTGACCATGGTAATGGTATGTCGTATTGACCTTGGTATGTCTGCATTGACCATGGTATGTCTCCATTGACCATGGTAATGGTATGTCTGCATTGACCATGGTAATGGTATGTCGTATTGACCTTGGTATGTCTGCATTGACCATGGTATGTGGTATGTAACAGTATGATCATTGATCATGGTAATGGTATGTCGTATTGACCTTGGTATGTCTGCATTGATCATGGTATGTCTCCATTGACCATGGTAATGGTATGTCGTATTGACCTTGGTATGTCTCCATTGACCATGGTAATGGTATGTCGTATTGACCATGGTATGTCTGCATTGATCATGGCATGTCTCCATTGACCATGGTAATGGTATGTCGTATTGACCTTGGTATGTCTGCATTGACCATTGTAATGGTATGTCTGTATTGACCTTGGTATGTCTCCATTGACCATGGTAATGGTATGTTGTATTGACCTTGGTATGTCTGCATTGATCATGGTATGTCTCCATTGATCATGGTAATGGTATGTCGTATTGACCTTGGTATGTCTGCATTGATCATGGCATGTCTCCATTGACCATGGTAATGGTATGTCGTATTGACCTTGGTATGTCTCCATTGACCATGGTAATGGTATGTCGTATTGACCTTGGTATGTCTGCATTGATCATGGCATGTCTCCATTGACCATGGTATGTCTGCATTGACCATGGTATGTCTGCATTGATCATGGTATGTCTCCATTGACCATGGTAATGGTATGTCGTATTGACCTTGATATGTCTGCATTGATCATGGTAATGGTATGTCGTATTGACCTTGGTATGTCTGCATTGATCATGGCATGTCTCCATTGACCATTGTAATGGTATGTCGTATTGACCTTGGTATGTCTCCACTGACTATGGTATATATGCATTTTCCATGGTATGTCTGTATTCTGTGATAGCTCAAGGGTAGTCTGAAGTGCAGCCTTGACCCACCTCCAACCAAGAAAAAGAAGAAGCGAGGTGGCTACCAGGAGCTGAGTGAAGGTATCAGCTCACACAGGAAGATGTCCCACACCGCCAACAGTGCCGTCACCAACAGCGCCTTGCAAGGTATACTCCCCATGGAGATTCTGGGTTAGAATTGGTCCCCGACACCCTATATTGGTCCCAACCTAATGGATTGGGTTCTGTTGAGTGGTTAAGATCATCGTACCCTGATAACGCAAATCATTGATAGCTCCAGAATTGGTTATTTACAGGTTGCTGTCATACAGCTGGAATAAAGTTGACATACCTTAATTTGACTGAAAGACTGTTGGAAGCATTATTTATCCAGGCTCACAGCATATCAGCCTCTGAAAGAACATATCAGCAGATCCTTGTGAACTAAGGGCTATAACTCCTGTACTTATCTTGGACATTCCTGGACTTATCTTAAGAGTCATTGAAGCGTTGGAAGCAATTGAAGGGTTTAGGGGAACATAATCTTTGGCTACCATAGTATTTGAAACTATGGACTCCTAATATGTTATACTGTTATGATAAGGACATTATTTTCAGAAGGAATTTTTTGTTTGTTTTAACTCAGCTTTGTTTTTTTCAGGCTTATTTTAAGCATCTGTATCCCTCTATTTCAGTGCTTCATCTCTTTGTATCCAGATTTGGAGATGTTCTGAAGGACAAGCTTTATCAGGTAGACCATAGTACACTGATTTTTACTATGATATTTTATAAATAGTTCAGGGGTGGTGGAGTAGCCTAAAGGTTAAAGCGTTTGCTCGTCATGTCAAAGACTCGGGTTTGATTCCCCACATGGGTACAATGTGTGAAGCTCATTTCTGGTGTTGCCTGCCGTGATATTGCTGGAATATTGCTAAAAGCGGCGTAAAAGCATACACACTCACTAAGTAGTACTATGGAGTCACTACATATTGGTTTTGCTGACACAGAACTTATTGATCACAAGTCATGTCTGACATCAACAATTGTTTATTACATGTCAAGACTAAATGCATTTTGAAGTTCATGAATGCTTTGAGGCCTATATATTAAACCCTAATCTGCACCAGATATTAGTTAGAAATTCATAGTTGGAAATAAGAATTAACAATAATGATGATTTGTTCACTGAAATACTTTAGTTTCAAAGTCTGGGTCATTCTTGACAGCCCTATTCATAATTAATATATAATGTTGTCACTCACTCACTCACTCACTCAGGAGGTGGGGTAGTCTAGTGGTTAAAGCGTTCACAGTCATGCTGAAGATCAGGTTTGATTCCCCACATTCGCACAATGTGTGAAACCCATTTCTGGTGAGAGCACTATAAGAATTATCTCCCTTGGATCTACATGTGGGTAGGGGAATCCGTGCAAAGTTGCAGACGAAATTTGAAACTTTACCCAAGGACAGTATCGAAAATAGATACCACTGGATACCACAAAAACACAAGTTGTGATCGATTTACTTTAATTTGCCTTTATACAGGATATCATTGACAGCGTAGTGAGCTCGATCCTGCTCATTCAACAGAACGTCTTGGAGGCGCCAGTTCCGTACGGCAGTGCCGAATGACGTGGGGGTCTCTACAGAACATTGCTGGCATGTAGTCTGCAGACCCATCCTAAGGTGGCATCTCCATTACAAGTCAGTCTGATGTTGTTCCGAACTGGTCTACAAGATCCCAGCATAGAGGTATGTCGTAGAGTCGGCTATGGAGGGTTATAAATATTGGAAACATCAAAATTATTTAGAATAAACATTATGACTAGACAATGCCTTTTAGAAAGTGGCAAAATGTAGCATATGTTATATTTAGGATTACACTTTCTGTTCTGATTATTTCCAGACTACAGCCATTGCTGAGTACGAGGTGACTAACGGGATCGGGCGGTCAGGCTCGCTGACTTGCTTGACATATGTCGTTGTATCCCAGTTGCGTAGATCGATGTTCATGCTGTTGATCACTGGATTGTCTGGTCCAGACTTGATTATTTACAGACTGCCGCCATAGAGCAGAAATTTGCTGAGTGTGGCGTTAAACTAAACGCTCTCACTCTATCTCCTGAAAAAAAAAATCAGACCTATATTCACCTTATTTACAAATGCACGTTGGTACGTAGGTACCAGTGTTGGGTTATTTTCCTTGTAGCTTTAGAACTAATACCAATAGGACTTGTTAAAGCATTACCGATAATAATGATATGATATTGTCTCATCCCTCATCACATGTGCTTCGTTGAGGGGCAGGACTGAAGTCCTAGAATTTCTTAGGAGTCAAGCTGCCAAGACAGGGTCACCCATCCAAGGACTCTCCGAGCTCGACGTTGCTTAACTTCAACTGATTTGTGACCTGGGCTCTATGCACAGGACCCACCGCCACCACCATTTTCTTGTTTAGTACAGGGCTGTTTTTGCACTCTGAACATGGAAGACATTTGTAATAATAGAAGTAGGGTAACCTAGTGGTTAAAGTGTTTGCTTGTCACGACAAAGACCTGGGTTCGATTCCCCACACGGTTACTATGCGTGAAGCCCATTTCTGGTGTCCCCTGCTGTGGTATTGCTGGAATACTGCTAAAAGTAATGTAAAACTAAATTCACTGACTCATTTACTCATCCCCCATCTGTTACAGGTGTCGTACATATGTCAAGAAGCCCTGACAGTGTGTGAGTGCCTCGTCCACCCCCGTGCCCCCTGTCTGCGGGGACCAAGCCTCACACAGACCACCCTGACAGTACGCACTGCTGTTGCTGATGCAGACCTTAATGGGAACAAGATCCCCACAGTTAGTCCCCAAACATCCAATATACAGAGCTCTGATACACATGGTACCTCGGTAACCAGTTCAGTGACTGACAGACACAGATTGGAATCGGTATCTACAGATCATAACAGTGTTGATCATTCTGTTGATCGTCGCGTTGTCCAAGTCTGTCGCGAAAGATTCAAATATATCTACGCCCAGTGTGCTTGTGACAAACAGGACAGCTCCTGAAAGTCCAGAGAGTGTGGTCGATGAGGAAGTGACCAGCAGCGATGAAGTGGATGCCGTTGATGATGTTGAGATGGTGGACAAGACAGCTGGTCAAGAAATGTGTGAAGAGGTTGGTGGTCAAATGTCTTTGAGGACACAGGAACTGGGAACATCAGAAGTGGGAAAAGGACAGTTATCTGCCCCTGTGTCAGGGTCAAAGATGGTGGAAGATGTGGAGAGTGGGGAAGGGAAGATTGTGCCTTCAACATCGACAGAATCCTCCCAACAAATTGAATCAAGTGATCAAGAGATAAGGGTAAAATGTTACATTATATTTACTCCTGTACAACTGAACAAATGTAGGCTTCCATACATGTTGCAATTTACTCATGAAGATCCAGGTCAGAATTGGTCTTCAGCAACCCATGCTTGTCATAAGAGGCAACTTACAGGATTGGGTGGTCAGGCTCACATTGTATCCCAATTGCATAGATCGATGCTCATGCTGTTGATCACTGGCTTGTCTGGTCCAGACTTGATAATTTACAGATCACCGCTATATAGCTGGAATATTGTTGAGTGTGGCGTTAAACAACAAACAAACAAACAAACCTTAATCCTTCAGTCGCCATGGTGACTGCTTATTAACTGCATATCTGTTAACAATAGCTGCAGTAGCAGTTTGGACAACCAGTTGTGTTTTCGTTTGCTGCTGGCAAATAACTGTTTTCATCATTTTGTCATTTCCATTCCTTCCCAGGATGAGTTTTTGTTGGTCTAACACATCCATGATTAATATCTACACAGTAGACACAGCCTTTCTAATTTAAACTCACTCTCTCACTAGGTCCCTAGCAGCCTAACTGTGCCAATAAGGTCTATGTAATTTATTGGGTGGTCGTGTTCAGGGATATAGTTGATAATATGTCATCGTACAACATGTGACATTGCCTGTGGTATTAAGGCCAGACCAACTTTATTTCTTGTTTTACGGACTTTTGTCCTCAGAAAACCTACAGGCAGGAGGGTAGAAAAATAAATCACCAGTTAATGTAATATTCATTTTAAATACTAAAGTATTTTACTTTTGGCATTTAATGAAGTGTGTTTGGGGCCCAAAAAAAAAATCTAAAAAAATTATTGTAAGTTTACATTTTGGCCAATAAAAATATAAGGGTTTTATTTTTTGAGTGGGGAAAATTATTTTCTTTATTTTTCTTATTCTTGAACCCGCCTTGATGTTGCTGGAATATTGCTAAAAGCGGCGTAAAACCAAACTCAGTCAGTCAGTCTTATTCTTGAAATAATACGACTGGCAGATCCATAAAACAAGAAATAAAATTGGTTTGGCCTAATGAAGGTTTATTTGGTCAAGACTGGCATGTCAGTGCTTCTTATCCCCGGGAGCCAAACAGATATTTCAGGGCAACATTTCCACTGATCAGTTGTTCTAAACCTGGGAACAACCATTTCTTTAAACATGTAATCTCCCAAGAATATCAGCAAGTTCGTCTTTGATCTGCGGGTCAAAACCATGTCACTATTATGTTGCCTCAGTGATCTGACTTTTTTGTTTCTCCTTACAGAGCGGTGAGGTCGATGCCATGCTGCTGAGTTTTGTGGATGCTGGACCAGATTCAGACTAACCGATGTCAGTTGATTGGAAATAAAGATGTGAAACTGTTCCAGACATGCTTGATTCAACAGTTTGACAGATACAGAGACCAGGGAATCGAACCCAACCTTTCTGCTCTCCAGGCAGACGCTCTAGCCACTAGACCATAGAAGCAGTACATACTGACAAACCGGTCGGTCCCTTTTATCCCATTAATGGGAAGAGCAGTCCAATGCCAGTACAGAAGAAACAGGATCCTGGCAATCCAAAGGGACATAACTACCGGTATGCAAAGTGAATTGTGTCCATGAAGTGACTGAGTGAGTTTAGTTTTATGCCACAAACAGCAATATTTCAGCTATATGGCGGCGGTTTGTAAATAATCAAATCTGGACCAGACAATCCAGTGATCAACAGCATGAGCATCGATCTACGCAATTGTGATAACATGACATGTGTCAACCAAGTCGGCGAGCCTGACCACCCGATCCCTTTAGTCACCTCTTACGACAAGCATGGGTTACTGAAGATCAATTCTATCTTCACGGGTGGTGTCCATGAGGTGACGTGTCACAACTGGTCCTCAGCAATCCATGCTTGTCATAAGAGGGTGGTCACACTCAGACTTCGTAGATGCTTTCCATCGTATCCAAAACAAGCACATCGATGCTCAAGACTCCCATCCCAGGAGTCTGATTATTGCTGACCTCATCACCAGGCACAGAACAATGCACCAAATATTCACACTCCATAAAACACCAATACAGAACCTGCATTATTGTTTCAAATGAGGTTTATTAGCTTTAACATGGAATAAATATATGTAATATGATAATCTAATTCATAATAAAATCACGGTCATTCTAGAAACTGGACAGTGTCCACTCTCTATAACACTAAACCTGTGCTGTAACCATGTGCTTTAAACATGTGCTTCACAGCCTATACAGCACTGCCAGACACCTGGCGGCACGTCGGGCATACTGGGACAATGGAGGTCATCTGATTAACCTAGAAGTCTTTGTACAGTACCAGGAAACAGAAAAAAAACTGCCAACTACAAAATTATGCGAAAATCCACAAAAATCCAAGTACCCTTAAGGAATAAAACAATGCTTTTTTAAAAATGGACTTGAATTCCCAAAGGTGGCAAGGAATAAATGCATTTCAATGTAGCTTAAACGAAATGTTACCATGAATAGATGTAATTAAAAATACGCGGTTATCTCCCCGTCATTACTTGGGTCAATCTTGTAAAATAATTGCAAAAGTTGTTATAGCTATTTTAAGGCTTGGTTCTGTCTTAACCAAACACCATTGCATCATGTATAAACCTGTTCAGCTATTTTGTACACACACATTTGTTTAACTGGACTGCAAATGGTGGTAGTAATTGAACCCAACATGGTTCCAGTAACATGCTACCACTATTAGGTATTCCATATTGAATTCAACGTCATTTTGTGTCCTTTCTTTTCATGTGAGTGAGTGGTTTTACATTTAACAATGATATGAACCGTGTCCAAGTCATATCACAGAGCATAAGTTCAATGTGGGATGAAGAGTTTTAGTAATGTAGCTTTCGGAAGTTTACCACGTTGGTAAAATCCATGGGTTGTTCTGACAAACCAAGAAACAGAATAGGGAATCAAACCCACAATTGTAGGTTCCTAATATGCCTAAGGGAAGCAACTCTGAATTTTACTTAGATATCACTGTTACAAGGTTATGTGTGACACTTGCAGGGCAGCACACAAATGCATGCTAAGTTGCATAAAATGTCAGGTTTAATTATTTTCAAGAGTGCCAAAACCCAAGAGACGGACAGAAAAGGTAAAAATACATACCCCCACCTAAACTAAAATCTGGCCTCTGAAATGAACATATTATTTAATAAAAATTGTAAACTATTTTAATAAAATAAATGAATTAAGGATCTCAGAGACTAAAAAATATGCAGAGCTACAACTGCTTGAAATTTCAATAAGATGCAATAACCATCACTGACATGCCACTGCAAGTGTATGAAATATTTACTGCCCCTCAACTTCTCCCCAAACACACACCCTCCCACTGCCTGCTCGCACATGCCGTAATTCATTACCACGATCACAAAACTTTTACAAAATGGCCACTTTCTTTACCAGAGTCACAATGAAACAACAGAAGACAATAAAGTGAATTATAGGTCTTCAGTGTTACCACACACGTGTGAGAGGGGGCAGCGATTCTGATCATTACAAGCGGTCCTGTGAATATTCAGCAGATTTTTACAGGCCATGAAACATAAGAAATCTAGGCTTGCTACATATTATAGTCAGTGAGTGATTTTAGTTTTACGCCACTTTTAGCAATATTCCAGCAATATCACGGTTGGGGGACACCAAAAATGGGCTCCATACATATTGCCCATGCGGGGAGTCGAACCCAGTCTTCAGCGTGACGAGCGAACGCCTTAACCACTAGGCTACCCCACCACCCCCACATATAATACTCACCTGGGCTGGATTGGTTATCTCTCTAGGGTCTGTACGAGACAACCTCGAACCCACCCACCCCCCACCCACCAAACTGCTCAAGAAAGGAAACACTCAGTTGTCAAAACAATCTGGAGCCATCTGGACACTTCGATGCGGATATTTCCTCTGGAAACAGTCAGTCCAGGCTAATAAGCATGAACATAGAGATTTTTTCTGGGTTACATCTTCTTTTTATTCTTCTTATTCACCCAGAAAAAATCTCTATGTTCATCAAATATCATCTTCTAAAATGCCAATCAAGCATCAGGCTAATAAGGTTTTACTGTCTATGGTACAAAGTATATTTACAAACAGAACGACAAAATTCAATCCATGTACATGACGTACACAAGCAAGTTAACATACAGCAACACAATGCTAGGTAAGTAAACAGATCCTCAAGAAAATATACCACTCAAAACAAGTAAGGAACATCTAATTGTGTATTTCAAACAGTAAACTACAGTCATAAATTAAAAGACATTAATTATTGTTCATTATAGTTCGTCATACGAACTTCAACCAAAATATAAAATTGACTAGGACTAGAAAGGCCAGTTCATCACTTCCGTCATTCATTGTAAACATGTTCATTATAAACATAATTTACTGTACTTAAATTGTTCCTTTTTCTGAGTAGTATATATCGGTAAGCTAAACAAGTAAAAATAAGATTCAGCAAAATTACAAATTATTATATACACAATCTTAAAACAGTTTCATGTAAGGCAGATATTTTACTCCAGTATGACACCACTGCATAAATAACCAACAATCTCTCCATAGTATTTCAGTGAGTGAATTTAGTTTTAGCAATATTCAAGCAATATTGTGGCAGGGACACCAGAAATAGGCTTCACACATTGTACCCATGTGGAGAATCAAACCCGGGTCTTCGGTGTGGCGAGCGAACACTTGAACTACTAGGCTACTCCAACGTCCCTTCCTTTGATGGAGGGTGTTCCGATCTTCAAAAGCGAGGTATCATATCGGAGCAAAATGTCAGCATTGAAAGAGGATACACATGAAATAAATTATGACATTTACAATGACTTTTGAAGTTCTGATTTATTGTGCTTGTATTTTCTAAACACAGCTCCTCCAATGAGAGGTCAGCATTTAATCACATGGTCTACACTGTCTATATGACAATGTCAATTCAGTATATACACTAACAATGTGTTTTGTGCAGTTTATACAACATGCAGTACTTTGCTGCTAATTAATGGAAACAGAGATACTTTTATTCGGACATAATCCTCTGCTTTGTTACTTCAATGATACTTTCAGCAGCAGAAGCTCCATATTCCAGTTTCTTTGCATTTCATCCATTCAATGCAGAAATGAGTCCTGCTTGTTTGTCAAAGCTATTTCAAATCCTTTAGCATACAAATTAACAAGTGAAAATCATGTTGGTCAAGGTAAGGAGCATTCGAGTGGATGGGAGTTGTTGGGTGGTTAAATACAATGAAATAGACACTGGCTTAACGTTTGTAAGTCAAATGTTATCTGAATATGATTTGCAAGAAGAGAAGCATATTAACTTAATATTTTCTCATCATGATCATTGGTTTTGCATATTCAAGTATTGTGTACACACATATAGAACAATTCTGCTGATTACAAATTGTGAGGATTTTATTCTATTCCTACTTATTAGTGTCAACACCTTCAAATACAACAGACGAAACCTCAACACTGTACCATGGTATCAGTCTCTTCTATATCCAACCAATGAGGGAAAAACCTGACAAGAAAATATTTTTTGCAAACAATTCCTTCTATTGCATCATCACTACTGAAAGCCAAGCGGTGACAACGGTTTAAAGCCACTTTGAACAGAATTTCCAAAACAAGCATAAATTAAGGTACATCTGGGATTCGAACCGATGATCAGCGGATCCTGTGTTCATGCTTACTGCCCAGCACCTGGACCTAGTTAGTTTAGGTTTAGCTCCGAACAGTAGAGTCAGGCGCATAGCAATCCAACTTTTTCGTGTAAGCCCGACAGGTGGCAAAGCTTAACATTTAGATAGTATTAGGGCTTGCCCAACCATTTTTAGCAACAACCATGTGAAAACCTGGGCTTTTTTCTATAAAGATAGCTACACCCCTGAGAGGAGACCCCAAGGTGATGCAGGTCCTTGTGAGTGAGCAAGTTGGGTTTTACGCCGCTTTTTGCAATCATCCAGTCATACCACAACAGAAATGGGCTTCACACATTGTACCCATGTGGGGAATTGAACCCGGGTCTTCGGCGTGATGAGCGAACACTTTAACCACTGGTCTACCCAACCGCCTGATACGGGTCCTAGAACTGGACCACTTTGGCGACACTTGCAAGCATGGTGCTGAGTGAGTTGGCTTTTACATCGCTTTCAGCAATATTCCAGCATTATCGTGACAGGACACCCGATAAATTCTTCACACATTTGTACCCATATGGGAATCAAACCTGGTTCTTTAGGGTGACTAGGCTACCCCACAGCTCCTGTATGGTGCTAACAAACCTGAAACTCTTTAAGACATATTAAACAGACGCGAACAGAAGTGACCAGAGGCCCAGATAAGTTGAGTATCCGGGTAAAATATGCATAGAAAATTTCAAATTACACATTGAAAAATAATTGTTGCGTACCAATTACGCATTTAAACTGTTAGATATGCAAAAAGTTTAAAACAAATGCGTACGGAATATTTTTATAAAAATCGCTTGCGTAATGAAAAAGACATCAATTGCTATCAAGTTGTACTGTTAGTATAGGACAAGTGCTGTACTGTCAGTATAGGATGAGTGATTTTTATGAAATCATTTTCATTATATTTAAGTTGGTGGTGATTAGGTATGACATAAGGCAGAACATACCTGCTTAGTAAACTTACTTACTACTTAGGTGAGTAAAATGACTAAAATACGCACATATTTTAAAGCAGTGGGTAACGGAAAATGAAATACCCACTCAACATTCATAATACCCACTCCAAAAATACAGTGGGTACAGTACCCACATGAGCTCAATCTTATCTGGAGCTCTGAGTGACATTGTCATGTATTGTACCTCTGCCAATTCTGAGACTGTAAAATATAAGCCAATCCTTTTGAACCAAACACTGAGTAAAGTGGGTAACACCATCCAAAGTTGATCCATCATTCCTACCCTTATAAATATAACAACAGCCTCAACAAATACTATTATCTCCTATTTTCCTTCAAACTAATCCACTGATATACCATGATACAGTTTCCATGATGATGAAATATGCCAATATCTTTTCAAGGTTAGACTGACACTGAGGTAGATGACAGACATATGTTTGCTTCAATTTGACCGGTTTTATATTTTGAGGAAATGAGTAATGCCCTCTGAAAAATGCAATGTGGTTTTCTTTGCCTGATTACAACATTGTATAAAATGGTGGGAGTACATAAATTCTTGTCACTCTTTCATTTGTGCTCAATATCAGTACATCTGACTAACCTGATTATTGTCTCTGTGTGCACGTAATGCAGAATATGCACCCTGTTCATTCCAAGCTCATTCTTTGATAACATGATTAACTAAATTTATGAAACAAAACATATTCTCAGAGTTTATTTTTGTGACAACTTAATCACCTGTTCCCGAACCTGATCAAAGAATTATTTCACTATTAAAAGGAATTATATAAACATGTTTAGAATATATAGGAAAATGACTGGTTCTCAGGTTTTGTTTAGTATTCAGTATGACATCACAGTTGAACATCGCTGGTTGATATCACCAGTTGAACATCACTGGTTGATATCACCAGTTGAACATCACTGGTTGATATCAACAGTTGAACATCGCTGGTTGATATCAACAGTTGAACATCGCTGGTTGATATCAGCAGTTGAACATCACTGGTTGATATCAACAGTTGAACATCACTGGTTGATATCAACAGTTGAACATCACTGGTTGATATCAGCAGTTGAACATCACTGGTTGATATCACCAGTTGAACATTACTGGTTGATATCAACAGTTGAACATCGCTGGTTGACATCACCTTTTAAACATCTCTGCCATAATTTTATCAGTTTAACATCCATTGAACATCTCTGTATAGCAGTCTAACATTTGCACAAACCTCGGTAACAGCAGTTGAGCATCCCTGCATAACATCAGATAAATATCTCTGCATATCAGCAGTTGAACATCCCTGTGTAACATCAGTTTAACATCACAGCATCAGTCAACACCACTGCATAACATCAGATAACATCATTCAATGACATCACCAGTTATCACCAGAATACATCATCCATAGAACATATTAGAATAACATCAGTTTAACGTCACAAAAAAAGGCATCACCTGTTTAACACTATTGAATGACAACATAATATATCCACTCCAAATGAAACTTCAGACTGTAAATAGGACAATGTTTCACAGTAAAACCAAAATCCTAAAAGTATTTCAAAACTGATAGCCTGAGAACCACATTTTCATTTATGTTTTTCCACTCATGGTCTTACTAACAGCACAGATAATAACAAGTAACCATGACAACTGTGCTTTCTTCTCAATCAAAATACTCATGTTGCTTATCCTATTCCTTCTTCAAACAGCTCATATTCCATTCAAATTTCCGAACGAGGCACATAACCTGATTTACAATGGCACTAGGAATAACAATAAAATCACTCGTAATATTTGGTTTTCTTCGAAAATGATACTGTTCTGCCCCACCCTTGAAGCGTTCGGCTGCTATGTGAAACTTCTGCTCCAAGTTGAACTGCTTCTGCAACCTCTCTGCCATCTTCCTGTCTTCCTCCTCCTGGCTGAACACCTCCATCGTGTCGCTAACAGCATCCTCATCTCGGTCTTCCCGCATGTCAATGTCACTAGCTCCACTCAAGTACCTCACGATAGACTGCTGGTCACCTGTCGTGTGACGCCGCCGACCCTTCTCCTCCAAACCTTGTGACTTCCATGCCCTTGAGGCCACAGACTTAGTCCGTTTCTTATCCTGCTGCGGTTTCTCTTTTGTTGGATTGGGAGAATTTTCAAAGACACTGTCAAGGTCAGACACAATGCTGGACTTTGTTCGAATTCTTTTCCGTGGAGAGGGTCCAGAACTGTCAGCACTAGAGTGTGTGTCAGTACCACCACGCTTCTGAGTTTGTCTTCCTTTTGGCGAATTCACCACACTGCTGTTGTTCCTATTCATGTTCGGATCCACATTCTCTTCCAGAAGCTCCTCAGTTGCACACTTTTTCAGTTTGGACCTCTTGGTTGGTAGAGGCAGATCCATTTCTTCGGACAGATTTTTCGTTTTGGTTTCTGATGGACCTTCCAAGTCATCCAAGTTGGCCTTCTTGGGGGATCTTTTTGGTGGTGTTTTTGGTGGTGTTTTTGCTGGTGACTTTTTACAAACTGTCTTTGTAGGTTTGGACCTTGAACCCTTGACCCTCGTATTTTCATCAGAAGACATTCCATCATCAGTTATCCTGTACTCCTCATCAGATTTCTTGATTTTTCTCCGTCTCCTTCTTGGTTTGCAAGCACCAGGAACTTCATCATCCTGGTCACGATGTTTAGAATCATGTTCAACATCCTCATTATCTTTATGACCTTTCCTTTTTCTACCAAGCAATTGTGACTTTCTTTCCTGGTCAGAAATATCAGGTCTGTTTGTGTCTGTTCTAACCCTTCTACTCCGTTTCCCCATCTTCTTAACAGGGGTTACAGGATCAGTTTCAGATTCACTGATCTCTTTCAGACCCTCAGGATCAAAGTCTGGATCTCCCTTCGCCTTTCTCCTCCTAGATCTTTGAGGAACACAAATATTGGTTTCCACCCTCAAAGGATCAGCATCACAAACCTTTTGGGCACCATTCATTATGTGCTGCTGTTTTCTAGCAAATGTCATTTCACTTTCAGATTCACTTTCGCTCAAACTACACTTTGACACAGAAGCACTATCCTTTTTCCGACACTGTTTGCCGGACACAGTGTTATCAACCGACACCTCCATTTCACTTTCGGAACGATCTGATTCACTGACGTTTGTCCGTGAACGAGCACCTCGTTTGATATTTCTCACCGTTCGGATGTTTGACTTCAACACCAATAGTTCTTCATTGGTTTTAATCTCTTTGTTCCCAGAAACTTTCTTCCACCCCTTCCACTTTTTTCAGAACCTTGTTGAAATTGTCATCACTGCCAGATTCATTGATGACCACCTCCTCCTGTAGCCCCCTACCCTTTCTCCTGCCAGGCTTCAGGGCCACAGGATCACTGACACCAACACTGGAGCCACTCTTCAGAGGACTCGCATCACTTTCACAAAGTGGAAGTGGAGTCTTATTTCTCCTTGCTCGTTTTGGTCCGCTCTTCACCTGAGCCTTCCCATTCCCAATCTTCCCATTCCCGGTCTTCTGTTCAGTTTCTACTTCCCCAGTAAACACATGTTTCGAAATTGCACTGTTTATTTCGAGGATGCTCTCCGAAGGCAGTACCAATCCTCCAGAATCTCCACCCCCTTGTTCACTATTGCACTCATGTTTCCCTGACAACTGCTTCACATTAGCATTACTGTCCACCTCCTGATTCTCACTGATCACATCCGAATTCTCTGCAAACAAATCCGGAGACTCTGTCTTACTTTCCCTGTCTGAAGTTTTGAACCAGTCTTTTATGGACCGCTGAGGGCTGATCACCTGAGCCTTCAGATTCTTCTGTCCTTTGAGATCTTTGGACACATGTTTCGATCTCTTCAGCCTATCATGCGTTGGTGTCTTGGCTCGAATGTCTAAATTGCCAACTGACTGTTCTTCCTCTTCTTGGGATTTCGACACAGTCAGTGATGTACCTTGATTTCTGATATTAAGTAGTACAGGAGTAATGTCCTCATAGTCGTGATCTTCCAGGATTGGTTCTAGTGGAATCAATAGCCCGGACCTGGGACCGACGCTGTCTGGCAGGTCAGTATTCACAAGAGGAGGAACAGGATCGGTTTTGTGCAAAGGTGGACGGGACAAATCAATTGAAAGTGTTCTCTCTCTAACAAGAGGGTGGGATTTCTTATCATCCCTATGCATTTCATCATCAGGTCCAGTAGAAGTGGACTTGGATCTTTCCCGAACCAGCTGCTGTCTCTCCAGAGCTAGTTCGTTCAACCGTTTCTGCATGATCGGACTCCCAGGTTCTAGACCTGGACTCATCACAGCATCGACTGGGGATCCGAAACCATTCCGAGACAGATTCCGAGGAGTGGTACGCACAACCGGTGGATCTAGCACCTTTCCGTCGGCCATCTTCCTGGGTGGAGTCGAGGACAGGACAGGATGGGTTTGAAGTGACATAACTCGTTGCTGATGCTGTCATTACTGGCAACACTTTCACTTCGTTCCTTGGCACTGTCACTTCGTTCCTTAGCACTGTCACTTCGTTCCTTAGCACTGTCACTTCGTTCCTTAGCACTGTCACTTCGTTTCTTAGCACTGTCACTTCTTTCTCTACCAGCATCTGATGAAGAGTCGGATATGGTCATCACTTCATCGCTCGGAGGTCTCACCACAGTACTGGACTTTGGAGCATTAGGATGAGGACAGTAGGAATGATCCACTAAATTAAAGGGATACAACTCGGTTTTAACACTACTGCTGCTTAGTTTCCCGATGGAGGAATTTGAACGAGAGTTATCTTCCCCTTTGTCTTTGTCTGATGGACTGATGCAGGGGTATGGGTACGAATCTTCGGACACACACCGAGTGTCTGTCTCGGCCTTGTATTTCTTAAAGAACGTTTCCAATGTTCCGCTGCTGCTCTGTCCAGACTTGGCACTTGCGGCAGAGTTGCTCCGTGTAATGCGCGACTTTGTCTCCTCCAGGAGAAGGTCGATCGGATCGTCTGTACCAGCCTGGAAGAAACAAGCAGCTTTTTTACAATACTGTTGCAAAACAGAATCACTTAGCAAAGTTATCTCCCACATCACATCTCCAAACTGAAATAGAACAGTTATCTCCCTTTAATCAGATCTCAAGCCCAATGCCAAAGAAGCAAGTAATGTTAACGGTGTTAGTAGCTACACGCAAACGTCATCACTTGCTTGATAACAGTTAGAAGCTACACCGAAATGTCACTCATATTATTAATAAAGAATTTGTATATCCATAGAACTCTCCTCGTTGTTCAAAACACCAACTTCTAAATGCCACACAAAGGAATCATTTCTTTATATGCTACAGTTAATAAGGATTCCCTACCACTATGCATCTGAAATAGATGAGCCATAATCTTGATGAGCAAACACAAATTTTGGGCACCAAATAACTGACTGACTGACTGACTGACTGAGTTTGGTTTTACGCCGCTTTTAGCAATATTCCAGCAACATCACGGCGGGGGACACCAGAAATGGGCTTCATACATTATACCCATGTGGGGATTCGAACCCGGGTCGTCGGCGTGACGAGCCAACGCTTTAACCATCAGGCTACCCCACCGCCCCACCAAATAACTACAAGCACTTTTAAACCAAGTGGGAATATTAGGTAAGTGAGTTTAGTTTTACGCATCCTCGATAATCTCCAGGGTATACGTTACAATCACTCCCATTATACCCTGGATGCATCCACGGCTTGGCCGGATAATTATATTACCTCCCTTTGCTGGCTCCACATTCTCACAGTAGCCAATAAGCTAAGCCGCTGTTACATCCGAACTTGCCAGTGTCAACAAAGATAGCGGTCGCAGCCGCGAAAGTTTGTTCGCAGTGCGACTCAGATTGGGGGGAAGGGGGTGAAAGAGGGAAACATACAGACAAATTGACACATCTGAAATCTTAAAAAAATATATGCAAGAACTCCTTCTACCTCTTTCAGAGTACCTCTGCAACAATATATTATTATGTTGCCAAGTTTAATCAATTAATTGATTTAAAAAGCGGAAGTGAGTTGTGATTGGTACGCTCAACTTCCCAGCGTAGACACCTGACTGGATAGAAAGCCAGCAAAGTGAGGTAATAAAATCATCAAGCCAAGCCGTGGATGCATCCAGGGTATAGTGGAGAGTGATCGTAACGTATACCCTGGAGATCATCGAGGATGAGTTTTACGCCGCACTCAGTAATATTCCAGCTATATGGCAGCGTTGAGTGAATGATCAAGTCTGGACCTGACAATCCAGTGATCAACAGCAAGAGCATCAATCTACGCAATTAGGATATGATGACGTATGTCAACCAAGTCAGCGAGCTGGACCACCCGATCTCGTTAGTCGTCTCTTACAACAAACATGGGTTCCTGAAGAAAAATTCTAACCTGGATCTGCTGAGTGCGGCGTGAAACAACAAATAAAAAGACAAATCATTACACGGCTGACCTCATTAATGACCTTGTCCAGTTCCCATGCCAGGGCCTCGTCAGTCTCATTGGCCTGCATCGCCTGCAGTCGCTGCCGGTGCCGTTCTCGATCTTCTTCCTCCTGCAGGCGCCGGATCAAAGCTTCACTCTCCTGTTCCTCACGCTGACGCTCTTGGTTCAGCTGTTGCCGAAGCTGTAACAGACGTGCAAACTGACGTAATAACCAACAGATGCATGATAATCTCGGTTTATACACTGAACAACATTAGAAACGCACCACACTAACATGCACCGACGATGCTCAGATATCATGGGTACATTTCAGCCTGACGGGGATATTTCGTATTATATGGGTGGTGCGTTTCTAACGTTGTTCAGCATAATACAGATACATTCAATACAGAAAAGTACCAATGCCAGTTGTCTGGGACAAGTGAATTTTCAGTTCAGACAAAACCAGTATTTGCGTCACAACTTGTCCATTGACAACAGGACAATTTGGACATAGACAAATCAGTAGTGCTGGTTATTGCAGATCAACAATCGGAGATCAGTAATCGCTCAATATTCAATTATAATCATAAACTCCACAATAATAATCATGTGGCCAATAACAGGACCAGGGTCTGTACAGATTATCAGCAGGGATGGAAATAACTTTAAAAATGCTAATGTACTCAGGTACCCTTGCCCTCACTTGCCCTGATAATTTTGCCACTATACCGGCTGTTTTTCTTGTTGATTTCGTAAATAAACAACAGAATTAACATTGGAAAATCAACTGGACACTGGTACAGTGTGAGGTACAAATTAGCTTGCCCGACAGAAAAGAAACACTGGACTGGAACATCGGGGAATGGGTTGTTTCCACCCCCGATCAGCCATCAAAATTAAGGTCTTTTAAGGATCTTTTCGAGGAACAATTAACAACTTTGAGGAACTATTGAAACACATATACTACCCATCAAAAGTTTAGACTCACTTAAAGGTCACATGCAACCCAAAAATCAAACATAATTAAAACACAATTATCACTTATTCATGACATATAATATACATTGCTGGTTATGAAAAAACATATAAACAAAATGATAAGCGTACAATCACAAATCAAAAGTGCAATATTGTGTACTTCGGTTTACTTCCCAAGAAACGAAGCAGCCAGGATACCGAACCCAGTCAGAGCGGGTGGGTGTGCACTCAAGTGTAACGGCTTGTTCATTTGCAGATGTTCATTGTGTGTGTATATATAGAGATGTTGGGTTTTGTAAATACATGCTCATTTTTTGTGTATAACATTTTGCAATCAACAGACATCATAACATGTCATGTGTTCAAGTATCACACCTGCCTGTCTGTGTAATTACATAATGTGACAGAGGCGAACTTCGGCCATAAATCAATGCATTTTGTTTATGGTGTATAGCCTGATTGGTGTTAAGTTCAAATTGCATGTGGTCAGTGATAGCAGCTGTGTATTGAATATTGTCATTAGCAGACAGGCAGGCAGACACACAGGTGTCAATAAAACAAGACATTGAGTTTTGTCTGTGACAACGACATATCTATATCACAGTTAGAAATTCTGTCAACGCTAAATAATGACGTTGTTTTTAAGTATCGAACTGAGAAAGTGACTCGGTAAGAAGAACGTGTGGTGAAACAGACAAATGAAATTATATAAACAGTTAATTTACTGTCATAACATATAAAAAGCTATCAACAAAACATTAGAAAAATAGCTCACACCAAAGCCTTCACCGAGTATTCACCGGACAACCCGCTTCCAAGCTGCGCAAACCTATTTCACTGCGCACATGCTATGAGCGCAGCCCCAGCTGTTGAAACCCGTTTTCCCCAGAAAAGTCGGGGGAAATTTAGTGAAACGTTTCATCGCGGGTTTTTTCAACTTTATAAGTTGAATTTGCATTTTTGACGACTTGTTTCGGTAAGTCCATACCGAAAGGTATCAGAATCTGCAAAGTTGTGTTTTACGTTGCATGTGACCTTTAAGCACTCACTATATGTTATGTATATATATATGTACTTACACAGAAGATGAATTTCTCCACTTACTTGGGGGAACCAACTGTAAACCTTATGCAGATGAACAGCATGAGGATCATGCATCAAATTGCTGAAAAGCATGTGCAAATATCCAGCATGTGAACAGCTGTGTTTGGGTTTAAAGTTTTGTTAAGAACTCGCCAATTTTCACCCAGTTTCATCATTTATTGAACTCATGACAATCATCTTTTCAACGTTACAAATCTGATTTACAATACATCAGGTCATGTGTAAACAATACCAGAGATTGGGAAAGGCAGGGGCCACGGGCCATTTTGCACACTAGAATAAGAAATGGCCCATTAAAAGTTTGAAGTTTACTATTGATACAAGGGCAGAGGCCCATTCTAAATTAAGAAAATAGCTTATAATCCTGAAAATGGCCCATTGTCAAAGTTCTCTATCTCAATCCCTGCAATGCCTTCAAACAGTAAGGACTGACTGACTGACTGAGCTTGGTTTTACGCCGTTTTTAGCAATATTCCAGCAATATCACGGCGGGGGACACCAGAAATGGGCCAAACAGTAAGGAATATTTTGCAAAATCTAGTTTAGAGCAGTTGACTGAAGAAAGTGACTACATTTACACTAGTGAGTCTAAACTTATGATGGGTAGTATATAACCCATAAGTGGTTGAATACACACAATGTGAGACCGGTCAAATGGGAGACCGACCATCAGAGGGAAATAACTCTTAGCTACATCGCTGCACTGAGAAAGTTTTGCTTCGCAACTGAGATTAATTAACATCCACTGTATGGTATTTTTCTTATGTGTTAGTTTCTTGTAAAATAATAACATGACAAGTTTTGCTAAATATAGGGCCTTTGAGGCAAATTAATATAAACACATCCTCTGGTATTAAGGTCAGGTGAGGTGAAATGGGGTTTTTCGTCGCACTCATGTGTATGTGTGGCTGCTTGTACTAGCCCAGACTAAGCTGGTTTTATAGGGCTAGCTCACTTAGATACCATGCCGCAGTTAAGCATGAATACCCCACTCTGACACATTATACTGACTCCGAGCCGACCAGTCCTTGTTGTACCCATTAATGCCGAGAGCCAGGCAGGGACCAACAAGTAACATATTTTAAGGTCTTTTGGTATGACGTGGCCGGGGTTCAAACCCACGCCATTCCTCTCTCCGGGCAGACACTCTAACCACTACACTACGAAGGCAGTCTCTAGTATTAAGGATAACACACGGAGGACCTATGTGTCATAGTTCCCCGCCCCTCACCTTGTTGAGCTCCTCCTCATACTCTTTCCTGATCTCCCCTGGGGCAGCCAGATGGACCGGCCGATGGAACGACACTGGAAACAAACAAAAAATATGGATGTGTTTCACTGCATGGATTTACAATTAAATTTTTTAAACTAAAAGAGTCATGGGCCTCATTCTTTCTCTATCTAGTTCTCCAAGTTCTCTCTTCATCATTTCTATAAGTCATACCTTCATCATTTCTACAGGTGTTGTCTTCATCATTTCTACAAGTGTTGTCTTCATCATTTCTACAAGTGTTGTCTTCATAATTTCTACAAGTGTTGCCTTCATCATTTTTACAAGTCATAACTTCATCATTTTTACAAGTCATAACTTCATCATTGCTACAAGTCATAACTTCATCATTTCTACAGGGGTTGCCTTCATCATTTCTACAAGTCATAACTTCATCATTTCTACAAGTCATAACTTCATCATTTCTACAAGTGTTGCCTTCATCATTTCTACAAGTCATAACTTCATCATTTCTACAAGTGTTGCCTTCATTATTTCTACAAGTCTTGTCTTCATCATTTCTACAAGTATTGCCTTCATCATTTCTACAAGTGCCTTCATCATTTCTACAAGTGTTGCCTTCTACAAGTGTTGCCTTCATCATTTTTACAAGTCATAACTTCATCATTTCTACAAGTGTTAACTTCATCATTTCTACAAGTGTTGCCTTCATCATTTCTACAAGTGTTGCCTTCATCATTTCTACAAGTCATAACTTCAACATTTCTACATCATTTCTACAAGTCATAACTTCATCATTTCTACAAGTGTTGTCTTCATCATTTCTACAAGTCATGTCTTCATCATTTCTACATGTTTCCCAATTGTACAGATCGATGCTCATGCTGTTGATCACTTGATTGTCTAGTCCAGATTTGAATGTTTACAGGTCAACTCCACTTGGCTAGAATATTGTTGAATCCTACAAGACTCATCTTCATTTCTACAAGTTTTGTCTTCATTATTTCTACGAGATTTGCCTTCATCATTTCTACAAAAGTAATCTTTATAATTTCTACAAGCCTTCTCTTTATCATTGCTGCAAATCTCTTAACTATGAGAATTAAGTCAGTCTCTAGTACAAAATACACCACTGTCAATCATGCAAAATAGTTTCCAAATTTCACTAGCCAGTACGGCTAGCTATGCCTGAAAGTTACTAGCCACAAAATAATTCACTAGGCCGAAATCTGAATGTAGAAACAAAGCAAAAGATTACAAAAATAGATGAGAATAAGATATTGTCGGTATAACACAGGTTTCATCATTAAGCTGCTGATATGATGAACATATTTATCAGGCCATAATCTTGCATGTTTTAAAAGTGTATTATAACTTAATAATTCGGAGAGAGTGATATATTTACAAAATGACCCCATGAAAAATCACTAGCCAGTCGGGCCAGGGACTGTGGAGATTTACTGGTCCGACTGGATTTTTACTAGCCACATGCTAGCGGGCCAGTGGCTATTTCTCACACTGCTGTCAATATCCACCAATAAACCGTGCCTTACATAATTATATGTGTGTGTCCTGCAAGTTATTATTTCAGCTAACATAAGCTGTAGCCCATAAGGAAATGTCAACAGTCCATCCTTAACTGAACAAGTTTCAGACTATAAGAATAATGTAAATCTTACTGAACTTTAATTACTGCTGCCTTTCTACTATGTAAGTCACGTCTTACAAGTAAATACACCATAGTCAATTTCCATCAATAAACTGTCCCTTACATCTGCGTGTCCTGCAAGCAATTAATTCAGCTGCTATGGATACACCTCTCAAAACAAACAGACTTCCTCAGATAAAAGACTACACCAAAACACACAGAGAACTGGTATCTATCAAAATAGCTCACTGATGGCTACACTGTCAACAGTGGTTAGCACATACTCCACCACAGTGCTGGGTTACACAGTGGGAGGGAACATAGAAGAATCGACTCATGATACATGACAATACATTGTGTGGAGCCACAATTTCTTGCACTATGTTTTAGATGACTTTGGCAAGAGTGAGTGAGTGAGTTTAGTTTTACGCAGCTTATAGCAATATTCCAGCAATATCACGGCGAGGGACACCAGAAATGGGCTTCACACATTGTGCCTATGTGGGGAATCAAACCCGTGTCTCAGCATGATGAGCGAACGCTTTAACCCCTAGGCTACCCCACGGCTCCACTTTGGCAAGAAATATGAAATATTTTCTTTCTTGACATATTTATTTTACATACTTTGGTTGTGTTTTCTAAATTAAAATCACTTTTTACTAGGTGGCCTTTACCAAATAGAACCATCATCAGTTTAATATTTTCCGAATTCATTGTTTTATGTTGGACTGTTTTATAAACTAATCATGCGAAAAATGACCAATGTGTGTTACCACTGACCATAGTTGCAGTTTGTTTCGACTAACACACACAACAAGTTGCCAAGATGAACAAAAACAGTTTGTAAATTTGCCTGTTCATTATAAACATAGCTGATTGTACCATAGTCTGCCAACTATAGTGTTACGGACCAGAGGCTCAAGCATTGACCTTCCTTTCTATCCACAAGACCAACAGAAACAGTCAAACATTTTAGCAATGAATGTTCATAAGTGTACACATGCAGAATTCCTACACCTCTCTAAACATTGACAAACTGTTAAATTTAAATTGATTAAAACAGAAGTTACAATTCACATGAAAAAATGTTCTATTCTTCAACAAATTCTCTCTCATAAAAAAAAGAATTATATTTCATTGAAGTCAAATAAGCAGAATACGTCAGAGTCTTGGCATAGTAAAAGGAAATTAAGCAACTACGCAACAGTGACAAAAAAAATCAATTGATCAAACATTCTGGACGTGAGGACCCATCTTTGGCGCCTCTTTGATATAACAGTAAATAAAGACAGCAGTGTCGGCAACGGACCAGCGTCACTTTCACTATTGATGAATCACAGTGTAGTACGGGTGTGTAAACACGGAGGCAATGTGATAGCAGGTGGGGCACTACATCTGCTCCCATGTAGGAAGTAGACAGGGAAATATGCTGAGCCCTTCATTATTTCTCTACTGCAATACGAGACTGCTGTTGAGGCTATATTCTATTTCAGCGGTTCAGGAATAGATATGATAGTCGGGAAGGATGTGCTGGTAGTGGCATTGTGACATAAAAACTGACAATTAATCAAGAAATTGATTATCGATACATCTATTCAACATAACTCTATTTATCAAGTGGCATCAGACTCACCGGTCTTCATAATTATTGCTAACCCATTGGAATAGCAATATCTTCCTTTATAGAATTAATGCCGGGGCAAGTCAAATAGAGAAAGTTTATGAAAGTACCATAGGCATCGAAGTGATGTTTTCAAGATTGACACAGAGCATCACATGCGTATCAACATCATCAAGATACCCAGGTGTGCCAACAAGACACCTTCGATATCAGTGTTTTTCATTTCAATGTGTTCCCCATGAAGTTTGGCCCCTTTCATCATGATCAATAAACTACAATTTCAGAATCAATGGCTTAATTGTGTGAATCCTGCTGTGCAATAAGCATGTGTCCACAAGTCCACAAGTTCATTTACATTTATAACATAAAGTACAGAATAACCTAAATTTGTGGATATTGTGATACAGTAATTATCTTCAGGGTGAAAGACGGAACATTTATAACATAAAGTACAGAACTTGGCCGAAGTTTTATAGGTGGCCCTCACAATTCAGTTCAATTATATTGTGATGATAGTTTGACTTTTACAGATTCAGATTGTTTGGATACATGGTAATTATCATATGATTCACAAAGAAATCTTAAATCATGTCCCAAATATTGAAAATCACTCCCAAAATAAATAGAGTCATCATGACTCCCATGTTTAAAAGACTGTGTAAAACCCTGCATATGATGTAACACCACTGCGGTACTTTTGATGTACAACCACTCTCAAAATGTTCCAAATATCTGCATTATCCAGCACTAAGATAAATAGCCCAAGATCACTAATACCAAATTGTCTTTTTACAAAATGTCATGTAAAATAGATACCGTTAGGACCAACCTTCTAACAAAACATCGTCATTTGCTTTCCTATCCTTTCCTTATCAATGCTTACTGCAATGGGCTGTCATACAAAGTGATATATTTTAACCGACAACCTAACCCATGAAACAAGGTGACATCACATTTTGTGTGCACACAGAATGGGTGATGATTGCAAATGGCTTCAGTAAAGAAATGTTTCATTCACAAGTGGAATATTAGGCAAATTTTAATTTGCTGAATCAATGAATAAAATAATCATTGAGTATTCACAATGAAATTGTGCATTTAAAACATGATTTTTGACGCACTTCCCTTATATCCCAAATCAAGGCTACGCGAGTGTACATATATATCAAGCATTAGAAACATCATCTGTGTTACTGTGTGTTCTATTCAGACTTGCCTTTTCTGTGTAACTTCTCTCCTCTCCTCTCGGATATGTGCGCTCAGGGCATGTACTGAGCATGGATTCAGCTTGTTAAAAGTGGACTATTATTTATTTATCATCAAAAGGTATTTTTCCTAAAAATATCCTGATTTCTATCTGTACAATTAGCTAAAAGGAACCATATCATAGTATAAAATGTTAATGAATTTCATTTTCATTATCATGTAACAAAATATATCTCATTTTTTTTTACCAACATAACTTTGTAGTACCTTCCCCAGATACAGAAATGGTTAAATCAAATTTCACTGTCTAGTTTTTACATTTCTCCCTCATTTACTGAAATTAACATCCAGCTGAACCTATTAAAACTGTGAATGTCCAATAACCAAGATAACAAGGAATGAAGTATGCATGGCTAATTTACAATTCAAAGACTAAGGCCAGGACTTGTACTTAACACAACAAGAATTTGATTAAAAGGCCTTTAAAAGATAATTACATATGTTTTAGCAGTGCCCCCACCCCCTCTCCCTTAAAAAGCAATATACATCAGAGCTCCATAAAATAAACACAATAAAAAGTCATTAACTAATTTTTCAAAAGCACAATAGCACGGACTATTTTAATTGCCCAGTCTATTCTTTACAACTAGCTATATTTCCTAACAGGTCGTTATTTACAATGTTTACTGATCAAATGCAGGAATCACATACATGGACTCTAATCCAATGGTGTGAATATTGCACAAACCAGGGGCTACATCTCATTTATTGGTAACTGGAAAACATATACATGGATTTTGTGGGGAAACAATGGCATCAGGATATTCTTATGACTCTTCTCAACTTCTGATATAACATTTTTCTGTTATTACCAAGTTTACACACAAAACCCAGGACATGCATCAGCCTGGTGTTATTCTCGTTTACAATTACATAATGAACAAGACCATAGACAGGGCTCCAGATAAGGGCAGTATTGTCATATGTACGGATACAAAATATACACGATACGGTAGGAAATAATTTAGAAAACGTAGCAGATAGGCACCACAAGCAATTGTGTACGGTCTTAGAATCATTTACAGACATATTTATCTGAAAAAGTATTGTTTAATTGTTTATTGACCGTTTACCAGAGCAGCAATGCTGTCATGCATATATGAAACGAAGCACAAGTTTAATGATACACCATTAAATTCCATTTAGTACTCTAAATGTACTCTTATTGTTTTCCAGTACTCATATATTGAAAAAATAAGGAGTACGTACTCCTGATGTTGAAAAATTATCTGAAGCCCAGATAGAGCATGTCATATTGTTAGTAAACATTGGATAATAGATAACAACCTACTGAAATGGAAATATGTAATGTGATGCGTATATGGAATATCCCTGTTGTTAATGTCAAAGGGTATCATTTCCTGGAGTGAAGGTGCTATTCTCTGGGGAATCTTCCTTGGACAAATGTACAACAGGACATTTAGCTGGGAATATTTGTTAAGGATGGAAATAATGCTTAGTGGAACTGATCATTCACATGAATAAGAAGTAAAACCAAGGTCATTTTCAGTAGCCATATTCTTCTTTATTGAAGTATAGAAAAAATTCAAATAAGAATACAACAGCCTCAAAGTTCAAACTGTCTTTGGAGTATGAACATGATGAAGCCAGGGCTCCAGGTAAGGGTCGTATCGGCGTATGTATGGATATAAAATAAGCCTGATACGGTAGGAAATCATTTAGAAAACATAGCAGATACGCACCACAGCAATGGTGTATGGTCTTAGAATCCTTTATAGACATATTTATCTGAAAAAGTATTGTTTTATTGATTATTGCAATGTTGTGGTGCATATATGAAACGAAACACAAGATTACTGATACTCCATTAAATCCCATTCAGTACTCTAAATGTACTCTTAAGGTTTTCCAGTACTCCTGTATTGAAAAAATAAGAAGTATGTACTCCTGATGTTGAAAAATTATCTGGAGCCCAGCTTTACATAATGTATAGGAAGAGGAGCTGCTATGCACTCCTAATGTATATTTTACCATTTAATTGCATAAACCTCAATCAGAGGCAGGGCTTATATGTGAACATGGCGAAGGAAAACTGCTGGCTGGGAGAATAATACTGCTCTACTTAATGTTCAGACATGAAACCAGGGTTTTCTTTCTTCTTGTTCTGTTTTTCTCTCTTCAATATGTTCAATGCTAAATCAATTCATATTTCATAATTTTACATAAAAAATATATTTACATAAATATAATTATTTAATTCCCCCAAATTAAGAAAATTATTGGGACTAACACAAGAAACAACCCCAGTTGATGAAAGTGTAAACATCACATTCTTACAATCTTTGCTGATATTAAAAAATAAAACTTGTCACTGCAGTAGTCTGGACAAATAAATACTGTCAACATCAATCTGATATTTTGCCAGGTGACAGACCCTGACCCAGTGACACTTGGTGATCTTAGCAACAATGTTGCTAGGCTCTTGATATACAGCACTGCTTTTATCCTTGACAGTTTACAGGCTTTCAGCATTTTGTACAAGATTTTAGACAGTATGGCATATATTCATGATATTATGGAATTATTTTAATAGAATTGAACAGCCTCATGTACATAATTGACTGTTTCAAAAATCTGTCCTATGTTTTAAAATATTCAGATATGCAATATGTATAGACATATGTTCAGGTGAGAAATGCTATTTTGTCCAATTATGATAATGTAAACTAACTAGCACTAAGTTACAGGTCAGTCAGGTTTTTAGTGAGCTGAGGGCCTCAATTGGTTCCAGCAGGGGTTTCCACTATACAGGACGCATATTTCTTGTTGATGTTTTTCAATTTTTCAAATAAGCAACATGATGAACATTGGAAAGTCAACTCGACACCGGTACAGCATGATATACAAATTTGCATGCCAACAGAAAGAAACACTGGACTGGGACGTCGGGCAGTGGGTTATTTCCACCCCTGTCCAACAGTCTCTGGTAGGTCTAAATTGGCTGAAGAATTCATACATCAGCATAAATACATAACAAAAAAAGCTAAAGGTGTTATAAACAGAAAGTTAAAAATGAAACTAGAAGTAGAAGCTAAATATTTTCAAGTTCTACTACTAAAACTATGTTAGGAGAATGAATGGCCTAAATAATAACATTTGGAAATATAATCTTGACACAAGGTTTATGTAACATTATTTCAGACGATAATCATGATAATAATGTAAGGTTAGACATGTTAGATGTGTCACTTCATTTTGCAATTGTTGACAGACTGACAGCTTGGCCTAACGCAGCATATTCTGATAAAACACACGTTAACATATTTTACCATCAGCACTGTCATCTTCTTCATCTTTACCCTCAAGTCTTAACCGAACTCTTTTGGGGAATAATTCCTGGATTTGTTCCCACCGTTGTTGATTGACCAATGTTTTGGTTTTGGATGCATGACGAGCCCAAGTTCCAATTCTTGTTCTACACATAGGACACAACAGGCTGGCCTCCTCGACATTTTGTTTGAAGCACGGTCGACACAGTTCATGGTGGCAGGGCATTGTGACCGGCTCGATAAGAATACACATACATACTGGACAGGTACAGTCTTCCAAGGAAACTCGCGATGTTTCCGCAGAACAAGCCATTTTCTGTCAATTTTCGCCATACGAACTGGCGCGCATCAAACCGGAAATGCTGATGAAGAATTCTGGGATAAACTTCCGGTTTAGGGAGTAATCATTATACCAAACCGAACTGCAAACAGTATTACTGTTCGCTGAACTTTTCTGTTAGTACCGCTGTTATTCCTCTTAAGTGCTGAGCTTAGTATTGAAAGAAATCTATTGTTATGTAAGCAATGTCAAATTTAATTTAAAAAATACGATGTATAAAACTGAACACACGTTGGACACATATATATGTCAGTGAATATCAATCCAAATTAATGGCGATGTTGGTCGGTGCTCAACGATATTGCCGACCGCTTATAGTTGTGTCTGTGGAAATAATTACATGAATAACCATCAATATTTTAAAATCATGTATAGTCTCTGCAATTCATATATCTAAATTAAAATACTACGTAAAATTTCTTATTTATTAGCTATCTCCGAAATATTATATATTCATTAACAGCAAAGAAATCCAACAGTGAAATGGTTTGAAGTTTCTTTTGAAACACACAGCTGTTGTGGGCAGTACACACGATCAACCGAATTGGTGCCTTTGGGAGGACGGATGCAACCATTACATATGCAGAAATATTTATCAATATTTTCTCACAAAACACTCGAAGACATAGCCGTGGTTTTCTCGACAATGCGCACATACATTCCTGTACACAAATATCTCGTTATAAACGGCACAATTCATTGTACGATTGTATTCATGCCCCTCACGTACACGTGGTGGAGTAGGCTTGGGAGACAATGCAAGGGAAGGCGGTCCCTGGCTGGGCGTGTCGGGTGATATTTGAGGTATTGGCCTGTGTTTACTTATAACCAGCGAGGTCGCCATTACTGCTCCTGTGACGTAAATGTACGAACGTTTGTGAATGAACAGCTGCTCCAGTCTCAGCCGGGGCCGCGTAAATAGTTGTGTGAGCGGTTGGTCTACCGTACAGGCTAATTTTACAACATGCTAGCTCAGTCGTTAAAGCGTTCGGTTGATACACCAAACTTAAGGGTTCGATCCTAAATAATGGGTCGAATACATGTTTTGTGTCCTTCTGAAGCTTTAAATGTGTAAATCTACAACAGTACATAAATTCAACTTGTCGCTGTGTAGCTCGTGCGTTAATTATGCATTCGCTTGATTGATCGTTTCGCACAAATCCCGAGTTCGATTCCCAAAATGTGTTGGACCCATAATTTTGTCCCTTTGAACCGTTGTGTGAGTGAGTAGTAAATCTGTCTCGATCGACACAGTACAATCTGTGTTTGTGTGGCGAAGTGGTCATAGCGTGTGCATAATTGGTCTACCGAAATCTCGAGTTCGATTCCCAAAATGCCCTAGGTCGATATATACCGCTCCCACGACCCCCACTCCGAACCGTTGTTTTATTTAGTGGTAGATCTACTATACTTATAGTGTTCGCTTCTTCCACCAGAATCTCGAGTTCGATTCCCAAAAAGTCCTAGGTCGATATATACCGCTCCCACCACCCCAAATCCAAACCGTTGTTTTATTTAGTGGTAGATCTACTATAGTTATAGTGTTCGCTTCTTCCACCAGAATCTGGAGTTCGATTCCCAAAATATTTTACAAGTCGATATCTTGTTATATGTAGGTGACTGGTAGATCTACTGTCATTGTTCCTGTTATCGTGATGATACAACCTGTAGCGGACGACTACATCACCTCTATTACCAGACCGACTATTTCATGTCTCGAGAAAGGTCGATGGTGCTATTCCCAGCCAAGTCAATCCTAAAGTGTTCAAAGATGGTACCAAGTACTCTGCTTGGCGCTCATCATTAAGAGGATTAAACGAAATCATCCATGTGAGGATTCGAACCCGGGCCTTAGGATGACGAAAGAACGCCTTAATTAACCGACGGGCCTTAGGAGTCACGGCGAGGGACAAAAGAACGCCCATATAATTAACCAGCCAACGCCCTGGACGCCTATTAGTGAGTGAGTAAGTTTTTGCATCGCTTTTCGCAATATTCGGTGGTGGGCGAGGAGGATTAGGAGGGCACCGAAATGGGCTTCAGACACCGTACCAATGTGGGAAAATCGAACCTGGGCGTAAGGAGAGACGGACGAACGCCTTAACCCCTGGGCTACATCATCTCCGCCCTCTATGGCTCTTATGATACTCCCCAACTTCCACAGAGAAAATCTGAAGCTATATCACTCCTCGCACACTGATACACTGTCTCTGAAAGTGTTTCAGGTCGAGAGACAGTGTTGGAGCATCAGCGTTCTGTTCCACATCCCAGAACAAAAACATAACGCGCAACGCCCATAAAGGTCAGTGGGTCAACCACGTGATGTATTATTTGCATCCCGTTCTGACGCAGATGCTTAGTCTGGTGTTTCTTGTCAGAACGTTTTGCACCTGTGCGCTTTAACCCAACATAGGAACGGTAAGACAGGGACCCAGTCTAGCGAATGTCAATTTTGCTAAATTCTGACACATGCGAGACATATTTAACCGCCTTCTCTGGTTTATTTATATAACGTGTACGCGTTTACTGGTACTGTGCTATGCGTCGGATTTGATTGATTCTGTTCTTTGTTTTACACACACGAGCTAAATAACCACCATCGCTTGGAGACATAATGGATTTTCTTGGATATAACTAAATAGGCTTTTTCTGCACTGAAAAATAAAATTATAAATGCAATCCTATACTTTGAGTGTTTAACACAATACTAAGCAATATTCCATCTATAAAATGGTGGATTATAAATAATCGAATTTGGACCAGCCATTCAGTGATGGATGTCATGAGCATCGCTCTACGTCATTTGGATAAATGGATGTTACTGATATACGAGCGGACGCTTTAACCAAAGTCAACGCTTCGTGTAATTTCGTTTGTAAAGGTTTTGCAGTTGTTAATTCCGTGTTTACCAATACTTTGACAGCGACAGCGGGTCGGATTAATAATGAGCATTCATTTAATAGGGATACCATAGACGGTTTGGATGACACCATCCCGTGGTGTAGGGACGTTAGAAGCGTCCGCCCTGGAGATGCGGTAGAGCGTCCGCCCGAGAGCGGAAGGTCGCGTGGCTCGATCCCCGACCGCGGCATACCAAAAGACGTTAAAATATGGTACTTGCTCGGCATTAATGGGTACAACAAGGACTGGTCGGCTCGGAGTCAGTATAATGTGTCTGAGTGAGGTATTCACGCTTCACTGCGGCATGGTATCTCAGTGGGCTAGCACTATAAAACCAGCTTCAGTCTGGGCTAGTACAAGCAGCCGCACATACACATACACACGCATGCACGTCGTCATATGAGCGAAATATTCTCAAGTACGACGTTAAACCCAATTTCACCTCACCTCACCTCACGAATTTATGGGTGTAAATGAAAACTTAATTGGTTGTATCATTTGACGTAACTTTGGGTGCCAGGTTTAGTTCTTTTGTAGTGTGGATTCCATGTTTAAGCACGTTTGGAAATGGAGATCGGCTGGTCACAATCAATGAGTGATTATAATTTGACTCCGCCTTTAGCAATAGGTGCAGCGTAAAACTAAACTCACTCACTCACTCACTCACTCACTTTAGCAATAGTGCAGCAACATGACGACGGGTGCTTCACACGATGCAGCCATGTGGGAATCGAACCTGGGTTACCTGCGTGACTGGCGAACGCTTCAACCACTTGGCTATCCGATCGCCTGTTCTTAAAATGTCTTCGAATTATGGACTGTCTTGAATGGCATATACAATGGAGAAAAAACTCCAGAAAAGTCAACTGAGCTTATCATTGTGCATCAATGCCCATGGTATCGCCCCTCGGGTTGTCTTGGCTCGATCACATTTATTTTTGCTTATTCTTTTGTTTGATATACTTTGCTCTGAGGATATGATGACGTGTTTGTTTGGTAGTGTTTATTTTAGAAACAAATTGACTCTTCACAGTTCTATATATAGTAATTATATTTAGTCACCTGTTATTGTAAACAAGCCAAACGTTATTCCATATTTCCACAAAATAGATAAGCAATACGACAAGCAATAATCCCAATCCCTTAGTATATAGGTCAATATATAGGAACTATATAATAATAATCAATAATAATAATGGTCATTTATAAAGCACCCGTTTCCACACATTTGTGCTTGCTCCAAGCGCGGACACAAAATAACCCTGGATAGCCAAAGCTGCCTGTGAGGCGCTAGAAGGTTACAGTCACATGACTTATCCTACCGGGTACCCATTTTCTGCTGGGTGAACAGAGGCAATTTTCAACAAATTCACATGCCTGAGGTGAGACCATATGCATCACATGTGCTTCCTTGTGGGGCAGGACTGAAGTCCTCGAAACTCCCAGGAGTCAAGCTGCCAAACACGGTCACCCATCCAAGGACTCTCCGCGCCCAACGTTGTCTGTCTCACAGTCCCTGAACCATACTTTTTTCCCTACAGCTTTGCCTTCCCTGCAATGCTAAAGCCCTTAATGAAGCAAGTCTAGATTTCCCCAGGTTAAGGCCACCTGGGATTCCTTTTTAAATTAAATGGGTTTATTTGTTACAATTAAAATTATATATTCAGAGACTAAGCGTTAGTCTACGCCCAACGTTGCTTAACTTCACCTGGTTTGAGGCACAGGACCACGCACCACCACAAATATCTATATGTTAAATACATGGGAATATGACTAACAGTGTAAGTGCATCCTCCCGTAAGAGAACACCCAGACAAAGATTATGTACCCCCTTCCCCTCACTACCCGTCCCCCTGCTTCTGAATGTGACACGCCCTCATATATGAGTGCAGGCAAAGAAGCTGAGGAGAGAGTTATAGTGATCTTAGGTCCCACCCATCCGGGGAAGGAGTGACTTTGATGTCTGAAAGGTTGAATTGTGTGCATACAATGAATGCTCCCCGCGGTAGTGGCATCAAGCGTGTGCTTGGGATATATGTTTCAGACATGAGTGAGTGAGTGAGTGAGTGAGTTGAGTTTTACGCCGCACTCAGCAGTATTCCAGCTATAT